TGAGGACAATTTGGGTAAATTGAGTGTGTTATATTAATATATTCAACAGTTCTACAAATTGAGATGGTAGCTGATCCGGTATAAAACATGTTCCCGGTCACAATTCACAATGATTTAATAGCGAGTACTCAACATTAATTGATAATCTGGATGTACCGTTTAAAATTAAAGTCGGCGAGGTTTCTCCTTAACGAAAGCAATAAAATGTGTTCGTAAAATCGTTACATAAAGCGTCTTGCAACGATATCGGATTAGAATGAAATTAAAAAAAATATCATAGATGTGTGTGTATAATGAGGAAACGTTAACTGGGTTAAACGAAATCAAAAGTTGCGTGTTCCGAACGTAGTAGAACAGATGTATAGTAGAAAAAAATTGTTTCGAGATTTTTGTATTTTATCGATACAATACACTCGAGTTTTCTTCGGATAACTGGTGACGGAAATTTGTTATAGATAATAATAAAACCTTCTGGAAGCTGTATAATCAACAAATACCTCATTTAAACTGGCATTATCGACCACTTAAGATGACTAGAAATTTATTATACTCCGTTCGCCATCAAGAAACAGTAATAAAACCTTCTTGAGACAGAAAATTCAACAAATAACTCATTTGAATGAGGTTTTTAACTATCTCCTGATGGCGAACGGAGTATAGATTAATTCCGGACGGCCTGTATATATGTCGATGGAGAAGGACAATCGGTACGATAGTGTAAATAAATACAACCCGAAGGTATGGCACCCTTGACGTAAACACCGTATACTTTCACTCGTTTTGAACCGGAGTTGCGGGTATAAACGAATCCGTGGAGCCTTGACATTTTAACGACAATCACTGCATATCGAATTCGGTATTACGGGTAGACGTTGATTTTTAAATAACGCATTTTATGTGGGATTTTCGGTAGTAGATAAAATATTGTGTGTAACTCGATGGCTCCTGTATCAATTCTTTAATATACTGCTCCACAAAAGTTAAGGAAATTCACAAATATTGAGATTAATTTAAATGTTGCAGGTTTTTTGATCGCCAAATTTAGTATGAATTGTAGAGGAAGGGGCAAAAAATCCACTCAGATATGAGAAAAAACATTTAATTTCGCATATTTGAAAATTTGATGATCAATAAGTCTGTAACTTTTAAAATAATCGCAAAATTTGCGAACTTTCTTAAGTTTTGTGGAGCAGTTTAGTTTCTTAATCAATTTAAGGGTTCTGTATATGCTGCAAAATTTACAAAAAAATATTTTTTCTAGTGTAATTAACATACAATTCTGTAGGTATTTGCTCATTTAGTTTTTTTTATAATGATCTTGATAATACAATTCTGATGTCTGTACTTGCTTTTACTTCTTTAGTTTTTTTATTGAATTTAAGGAATCCGCATTAGCTGAAAATTTTACAAAACAACACATTTTTTCTAGTGCAATTACATAAAATTGTGCAGTGGCTTTATTTAAATTCTTCGCTTTAATTGAACATAGCGAATATTTTTCAAAAACGCGCAATTTCAGCAAAATATTTTTCGCTCGACATTATCGAAACTAATTTGTATGAAAATTCGAAATTACCTTTACCCGATACACGTTTCGCATTGGCATTATTCTAATATGCTTGTTATTTTTTTCCAGATCCGCCGCTGATAAAATTCCCATTCGACGATTAAGTTATACGTAAGTACCGAACATTAACGTAAATTTATTTAAATGAAATCGAGCGCTATCGATTTGCGCGCATTTATCGTTAATAATTTTTTTACATTTCGTTTATTTACTCTTAAATGCTTCCAATAAACTGTCGTTGGGCATTAATCACGGCACAAAGCGGTTGTAATATCACGGTGCACTGAGCTTTTTATCGCGCCCATTACTGACCTTCCTCGATTCTTCAGTTCACTCCCAGAATCACATAAATTACTCGAATAATTGCTCGAAAAAATTGTTGGTCGCAGCAAAAGTATTGTAAGAAACTATCGAATATCGAAATCGATTATGTGGAAACGAAATTGAATTCAATTATGAATAGAAGAAAAAATTACCAAGGTCTTTTCCTGATGAAATTTAGGCGTGGTCATATAGAAATACCAGTCCTGCGAATACTGTATTTTTTTTTTCATCTGAGATACAATTATATTGTGACTTTGTCTCGAAGAGATTTTTATAAACACGAGTATAATAAGGTTATTATGATATATTCGAACTAATTTTAGCTATTAATAGTTGCATAATTTGTGCCGGTTCGAATTTAACTGCTACAGGGTGAGCCACAAAAATTACCAGCCTCTTTTAATCGATTTCCGCTGTTAAAAGTCCCTTTCCCTTTTACTTCTGACCATTCGATATTAATAAAAATGCGCGCGGTAGAAGTTTAAATAATGCATCGCAATGTATAATAAATAAAATTAGCGGTAAAAATCCGAGACGAAAGTGAAATGAGGAACTCGCGGAGCTCGATAAATTCTTCGCTAAAAATTTCTTTTGTTTAGAAACTAATCGCTATTGCGATCGTTGCAAAAACGACGAACGTTCGAACAAAACGGTTGTTTTTTTTTATTTCGGTTCCATTGGGTAATGAGTTTCGTTTCAAAATCGAGCGAATGTATCGGCGAATTGTGCACTGTCATCTTTAAATTTTTACCGGAGGATTATTTCACAAGCTGGAGACAATCACTCACTAACTCCTGCAGCTTTAATAGAAACTTTAATTAGATTATTACTGCAGAGTTATTCCCCAAGTTGGAGACAATCACCCCAGTAACCCTGCAGCTTTCTAGAAATTTTAATTAGATTTTTACTGCAGAATTATTCTCCGAGTTGGAGACAATCACTCAGCTACCTCTGCAACTTTTGGAGACAATCAGTAACCCCTGCAACTTTATAGAAACTGCAAACATTTTGGGGAACCCTGTATACTATACATAACGCTTGTAGTTGTAAAAATAAGAAAATTAACCGCGAGTTAGATAAAAAAAAGTCGCCTATCGTGTTATAAGGCGGGTCGATTACATTGCAGAAATTTAAAATGCAAATCGACACCGAAACCGAACTGTATAGCTTTTAACGGCCAGTTGATATCCTTGACAAGGCCGCTTGTGCGGGCGGTCGAAAGTACCCGTGTCTCCCTTTGCTCCGTACTTCCCCCGTCTACAGCCATTCTAATTGCCCCAACGTATGTAGAACGTTCATTGCGGTTATCTATTACTTTTAAAACGCTAACGTAACGGTTATGTATACCGATGTTCTCCGTTTACTTTGCGAGTACTTCGCAAGAATCCTCTGGGTGGTTGCATTTTTCTCGAGACAACCTGTATGTAACAGTGGTTGTATGTTATACTCCGTTCGCCATCGGGAGATAGACAAGGGAACTTATAAAGGCTTGTGTAGTAGTAGTGTCACTCTGTATACTTACAGCGCATTTAAAAATAGGCGACCCTGTTTTAATGCCGGATAAAGTGTGTTAAATAAAATTAAAAATGACTTACAATAAAATTATAAATTGCTTTCATTGATATCTGAATCGGTACCGATTGCTACTAAGTAATTAATACAGGTAGTTGTCAGTTATTTATCGAATTATTAATTCAATAGTGCATACTTTTTAATTATTTATTGGCGCGCCTATAGTTTTCTGTTTCAAGAAGGTTTCTTATGATCTTAAGTGGTCGATAATGCGAGTTCAAATGAGTTATTTGTTGAATTTACTGCTTCAAGAAGGTTTTATTAGTATCTCCTGATGGCGAACAGAGTATAAGACATTTGAACTGTATACAGTTAAAATTACTGCTTCAAGAAGGTTTCATTAGCAATTTCCTGATGGCGAACGGAGTATAACAAATTTCTTGCGATCTTAAGTGCTCGATAATGAGAGTTTAAATGAGTTTATTGGTAAAATTACTGTTTCAAGAAGGTTTAATTACTATCTCCTAATGGCGAACGGAGTATAATCGACTCTCTTCATTGTACAATTTATTCTTTTTGGCGTTTAATCGACTCTTTTAGATAAATAAACGACTCTTTTGAAAGTGTATACCAGATTATAACTTCCAAACCTTTTTGTTGAAGATGAGTAAATGATTTCACTATAGTTTTGAAAATTATAGAGTGAATATAAACCTGCAGGGGTAAGCGGTGACTGACTGAGCGAACGGAAACCAGAGAGTAAATGTCGAAAATCTATCCTATACATAAACGACACTAAAATATTTATGAAAGCTTTTAAAATATCTTAGTCAGATTAGGTAAACGTCGCGTATACGGTTAATAAATCGCCTTGTAACTACACGTTAAATGCAAATTCTTCGGGTAAATTGCAAAATTGTTACGTCGTTACGGCGGCGCGATTTTTAATTTGATTATTGAAAGCAATGAACGTAATATGTAATAGAAATATGGTTTACGGTGTTGCGCATTAAACCTAAACCGCACGTTCATCTTCAATTTATAATAGTCCGGGAAGCGAAAGGGAAAACGCCGAACGTTATTAATTATTTACTCTTACGTGTATACTAACAAAAGTTGATTTCTTCTTAAGGAGTTTCTAATGAACGAAAGAAGTGTTTTAATTATAAAGTATACAATTTTTCAAGTGAGAAAATGGCGACGCGCCCGCTGACTATAAGCGATTTTAGAAATGCAATTAACCGTACCTCGATGGGAATCCATGGAAAGCCTTATAAGGATTTTAGGCAGTGTATGCATTCGCTTCAATCCAGTCGATTATTTATGTTTTAATAAGTCAGTTGTGCTAATGGCTCATCTCGACAACTAGGTGCCTATCTATTACGCAACACATAAATCCACAAGTAGCTAATTTATATCTTCGCCTAGGCGATTTATTTTAGACGTTTCGTTTAATTCGCCATCGAAAGTTCCAGAGCAACTCATCTATAAAGCCGCAGGGGCGGAGGCATCGAACCGGCGAGAAATCGAATGCGTTTTCCGGGGAATCGCAACAGGTCGCGCGTCGAGTGTACAATCTATTATTACATTTATTTAATCAATAATTTATAAGTTTCTCCGCGGCGGCGAAGCATCTCCATTTGTCCGGCAGATAGAAGGGCTCGAAAACGTGCGGAAACGGCGTGTCGAAACCCGTGACACGTTGTATGGGCGCCTCAAGATGCAGGAAACACTCCTCCTGCAACCGACAGATTTCCGTTCGATTAGTTCGAAATAAATACAATTAATTTCTTAACTCGATTAAACAGTGCATTATAAAAGTAGCACATGAATGACGTAAATATTGTAAGAAACATTTATTATTTACCTGTATTGTGGCAGCTATTTCGGCTCCGAAACCACCCGTTAGAGGCGCTTCGTGCGATATTAAACAACGTTTCGTCTTTTTCACCGACTAAAATAAATAATAACAGTGAATTAAATTCTTAAAATACCATCAATTGCATCTAAAACTCATCGTTTATTATTTAATATGGAGGTTGAAACAATCCCCAATCGATGCCGTCAGGATGTACGATAAATCCTCGGGGAGAGGAGAAGGAATCTTTCCATTGTTGGAACCGATTTTCATTATCGACGAACGACAATGGGGACTGAAAAATTTGCTCTCAGGATTAGGAATACGTCCAAAGCAAACAATAGGTTTAATGAGGGTGATGGCGGGGGAATGAAAAATCGATAACTTTTAACGCTTTCAAATCCGCCCAATATTAATTCGAGCTCAAACTTACACCCGGAGCGTGGTTCCTAAAGCATCTACTAAAATGAAAACTTATAGTACGAATTATTTACCCCGCCCAACGTACTTTAACTACAGTGTCCATATCCCAGGGTAAGATCGACACGAGATCGATGACTTCGCAGGAGACCTGGAATTTTTCTCTAACCATTTGAGCCACCTCTAACAGCACGTGCACTTGCGTACCCCAACCTACTAGCGTGATGTCGTTTCCTACGATCAAAAATCGCGTTAATTTCCCTAAAAAAAAAACATTTTTCGGGTTTACCTTCGAGCACAACATCCGCTTTACCGATGGGCAATTCGTAATCCTCCACAGGCACCTCTTCAACCGCGGCTCTGTACAAAATTTTCGGCTCGAGCACCAGGCAGGGATCCGGATCTCTGGCGCAGCTGAGTAAGAGGCCTTTGGCTTTGATGGGACCTCTGGGAATCACCACCTACACATTAGAGTTATATTAACACGATGGGTATCAAGAAGAGTATACTATCGTACTTTTAAACCTGGCGTATGGGCGAAATAAGCCTCGGGACTTTGGGAATGGTACAAAGCCCCGTGTCCTACAGCCCCGCACGGGGCTCTGATGGTGAGTTTGCCGCAATCGAACATACCGCCCGATCGGTATCTGTATTTAGCCGCTTCGTTCACTATCTAAACACATTAGTAAATATCTGCAATTGACCAAATAAAGTAGGATTTTGAGTACCTGATCGAAGGCGGGGAAAATGTAATCGGCGAATTGTATCTCGGCGATCGCCGTGGAACCCATCACGGCGGCTCCGATCGCGAAACCGGCGATGCCCTGTTCGCATAAGGGCGTGTTGAAGACCCTTTCTTTGCCGTATTTGTCCCTTAGGCCCACCGTGCACCTGAAGACGCCGCCGAAGCCGATGTCCTCGCCGAACACCAGGGTGGAATCGTCCGATTTCAGGGCTATGTCTAGGGCGTTGTTGATCGATTGGAACATGTTCATTTTCGTCGTTTCGCCTTCGAAAAATATCGATTGAATTATCGATGAAGCGATTGCGGAAAGTTCATCGTTTCGACATTGTTTTTGGTAGCTTTACGGTCGCATATTTTATAGGTTAGACGATAAAAATGTTTATTTGTTGCTTTCAAAAGCGATGGATTTAAATGTAATGCATATTTTACTGATAACGTAAATTCTAATGTCTCCGAGCGTTGATAAGAATTTCGAAAGAATTTACTACATTTTCGTACAATTGGCTATGTTGCCTTTTCGACTCGTATTTACCTGGATACTCACAAATATTCGATGAATTAAACTCACCTTTAACCGGCGAATTGTTGTCCGGCGAATAAACGAAATGGTTTCTCCTGTTAAAGAACCCATTTAAAACTTTAACGTCTCTAATAGTTTTCAGTCCTAAGCACTTCGAGCACACTTTGTTCAAAGACATTTTAAAGCCGAATTAACACTGATTTTTGTGACATATCAACAGGCTATCGAACGTCTCTGCTTCGAGTTTAGCTGATAGTGTATGTAAAACAACAGTAATTAAATTAGTATTTCGTTTGGAGTTAAGCGCGACCTTGAATACAATGAACTCATTATCATGGGGTCTAATTTGAATTTGTAATTATTTCGAAATTGTTATCGTAACAAATGAATTCTAGGTTGCAACAATTAAACGACTATATAGAAGGGGCTAGTTAAGCACTTAATTAATTAACGATAATAATACCAATTAAAAAATATTAAACATATTTGTGCCTCCTGGTGTCGTAACAAAACCGAAAGTTGCTGAGCCTGCTCGAAGTAATTTCCAAACAGAGAATAAAAATCGCCAAAAACACGCCGCTACAAAGTATTAAATACACCAAAAATAACTCGTTAATTCCGACGGCTTTTACTCGTGTGGTAAGCAGGCAAACCGGTTTCCTCGGTATCCAAAAGGTCTTTTCCCTGTGGTAAACTCCGCTCGTCTGCATTTTTCTCAAACTGAAAAAAATACCGCCCTGTAATCTTCTTATATTCAAATGATCTCTTGTTTTATACGCATCCAGCCACTATTTACTTACCTTATCTGAAACAACTCGGTATACTGCGAGTACTTCTGCAGCACCAATCCAATATCGCTATTTTGTATCAAATTAATCTCGGCCAGATCGCAAACCAGTTCCTGATCTTCCCTATCCAGCAGGAAATAAGCGGTGACGTCGTCAGTATGGTACGCGTGAGTACCGAGCCTGACTTTCGCAATACCCTCCTCGGGCGGCAGGTAATTAGGAATATCGTTTTCGAAAATCTTCGTCCTGTTGAGCAGGTCGATGTACCGGTTATTCTTCTGCTGCAGGATGTAGGTGAGGGTGTAAGGACGCTTCTCCACCACCACCTTCAGGTTGCTCTCGTACAGCTCCTTGATGGTACCTATGGCGTCCGGTACTGTGCTGAGCAGCGAGGACACCAAGCTGGACGTGTAGTAGTTGTAGATTATGATGGAGAATACCAGGAGATTGAGGTAGATTATCCGGCCGGCCGTACCGAACGGTACTATTGATGATCCTGCGAAAGTTAGTCATGGAAGTAGTTAGTTCCTGGTCTAATGCAGAAGTCATGATGATGCATGAGATGCATACCTTGCTGAGTTAGTACCGAGATTGTTATTACCATCGAAGTGCACAGGCTGTATTTGGTGTTGATTTTACCGAAAATGTATTCGACCCAGAAAGCTAGGTTAATGGATATTCCAATGGCTAATCCGGATATAATGAACAAGCACCAAGTGTTCGAGGCGAACGGTTTCAAAACTTCTGCGCCAGGTTTCACGTATCCAGGATTCACGAAAATGAAGCAGGTTCTAAAACAAACACCAATTTCTACCACAAATCTAATAGAACTGTTAATGGTATTGATTGGATAGTTTCAAATAACGAAGAAATGTTAGGATCCTCATTTGTGGATGACGATGATGAAGATGTTAAACGATATAATAATAATAACGAGAGTTATAGAAGAAATCGTTAGGTAACAAAACTGCATACTTTAAAGCAACTTCAATTTATTAATAACTCAAATTATAACGAACAAAAAAACAGGCAATCAACATGAAAACTTGATCCAAATTCCTAGACGTAAGCGGTGTAAGCCACAGGGGAGTATCCGGAGTAGACGTAAGGCGAGGAGTAAGCGACTCCTGCCGGGTAAGCCGAGTAGGCAGAGACCACTCCCGGTGCAGAATAAGCAGCCACCAGCTGGGGTTGCGGCTGCGGCTGCGGCAGCGGTTGCGGCTCAGCCCTGGGGGCGGCGAAGGCCGTGGCCAAGATGGCGAAAACGAATACGAACTAAAAGAGAATTGGTTTTTAAAGATATTTATATAAAACCGAGCGATAGAATAATTCCAGGAACTCCAGAAGAAGTTCTACAAAGAGGAGCTTCACCAGCACCTGGTGCGCTGTTGAAGAAGAACTTCATATGAAGACTTCATGAACTCTTATCTCATAAATTACTATAATATGTAGTATAATTGGTACTTACGATTTTGTACATTTTCGAAGATTTGAAGAGATTTGATTGATCAAACACTGGAAGCAATTGATACTGATACATTTTCGAATTCGGGTTCCGGTATTTATACAGATGGATTTGGTTGCGCAATAAATCAGGGCGCGGTCTGATCCTATTGTATTTGGTTTTTTGCGATTCTAAATAGATCGACAAAAAAATCTCATTGGCACCTCCAAAAATAGACCTGAAGAGTTTCGGCGACTGGAAGGTCACGGTAAATGGCTAATTCAGTGGACGCGTGGACGCGAAAATGAAGTTTTTTAGGGTAAAGTACCATTTTGGAAATTACCTGAATTTGTAAACTGGAACCAGAAAATCGTAATAATCGATTCTGACGTCTCGAATGAAACCGCCCGAAACGCTCATGTCGACTGTTTCCTCGTACAGCAATTGGGCCACTCCTGCATCAATGCCTTCAGTGGTGTTGCCGAAATAGGCGTTACGGTACGTCGTGTTGTATCTAAAATGAGCATTTTTGCTGATACAAAACGAGTAAATTGGACAGATTAGTTCCTCACTGAAATTTGTGGATGCTTTTCAAACACAAAAATAACTGGTAGTTGAATTTATCGAACGTTCTGTAGCCTCTTGTTCTTCTCTCGCGGGCTATATCGGCATCCGTTTCGAATGATAACTTGTACTGAAATTTTTTGAATAAATACACAGGGTGTCTTGAAATTATTTATAGCTTTTTCTAGTTGATATATTGCACTTACTCCGCTTCCTGTTCTTATCAAAACATCTTCGAGCGATTTTCTGCTTTCGTAGAACGTTTTATTATCGATAAATTTCAATGTTTTATTAGAGAATTCTCCTAAAAATTGAATTTTGGGGGTTACTCCGATTCCTGCATTGTAAATTTCGAAAATTTCGCAGGAATTTTCCTCGAAAATCGCTAATTTAACGTCAGTATCTAATCGAATATTCAAACTCAAAATCTCCTGAGAAACATCCTTGCAGTAGGTGCTGTTAGAGCACAACAACAACCAATGATAGATGCTCCTGAATTTTTTACTCGAAGAGCCCTGTAAATTGGAAAAAATCTACATCTCGAAGGAAAAGAGTTCCTGCGTATGTTTATTCGAAACGAGTAGGTTTAGAAATGTCAAGGACCAATAATAAGAAAATAAACACAAAAAATGGGTCTATTATATTATAATTTCACACGACAAAAAACGAATCAGGGTCGAGAATAAATGTTGGAAGGACCACACCACGCCTTAATTAGATCATCCTTTTCAATATGCAAATTTTCCGATTTTATTATTAGTCTAATCTCGTGAATATTAAGTATATTAAAATCATCGAGAATGAAAAGGTCGATAATGTCGAGTTTAAATGAGTTATTTGATGAATTAGCTGCTTCAAGAAGATTTTATTACTATCTCCTGATGGCGAACGGAGTATAATTGACTCTCTTCATTGTATAATTGATTCTTTTGGGCGTTTAATCGACTCTTTTAGATAAACAAACGATTCTCTTGCTAGTCTATAGGTACCAAATTATAACTTACAAACCTTTTTTAAAATATCAAACGCATTACGACAATCCAAATCCAGTACAAAAGTAACTTCATTTTGCTTAATAAAAATTGAAGAATTACTTTCAATAGGATAAACAACCGTTTTAGCAGATGATTTATGACTTGATTTGATCAATTCGATATTTTCTAGAACAGTAAATAAATAACAGTTACACCATCTCTACACTGTTAACTCACCTCTATCTGTCCAACAATTGAAATAAACAACTGATTTGTAATGGTATTTGTTCAAATACGCTTCAATTAAATCAATTTTCGGACCAACATGACAAGCAGCAATAGCGAATAATAGAAATAAATAAACGAATTTAAGTTGCACTGCCATCATCTTTATTAGTAAGAGGATGAAAATAAAGTGAAATCAAATCACTGAACACGAACAAACTTGTCACATCAATCCGCATATGCAATCAAAGCGAGCTTTGAAGCCCTTAATAAGATCGTTTATGAAAATGGGACAAATTTAAAGTTTTGAAAAGGGTAAAAGAAAAATACGATTATGTACACAACTTTTACTGGTTTCGACTGCTTTACAATTTCAACATGGCACACTGTACATATTTTGTAGTTATTTTGTACATAAAATCTGTTATATATAGCAATTTGAAACATATACGCTTCTATTTCGACAAGGCACTTCATGTTTTACGAAATCGGCCGTCCATTTGCGAATGCAATTTCAAAATGCACGACCGATTTTTCCGCATCCGGCTTTCACAACACTCCTCTGAATAAAAAAATTAAAAACTCGGAAGATGCCGCGCATCTCGAAATAAATTTTCAAACGTCTCTTATCACAGGATTTGTCTACGCGTCGAGGATAACAAGAGAGGGTTCTAAAATGATAAAAAAAAAAGATTGTTTGAAAATTTCCTCCGATAGAGAAGTGTCCGTCAGCGCGGTACGATCGAGGAAACGGAAATAGATCTCAAACAATGTTCTTAGACACTAAATTCATGGAGGGAAATAACCACATATTCCACATATACTTTACTGTATCACAGCCAAAAATTCACATGGAAAATTAATTATTGTAATATAAACCATTTAGAAGCAACAAATTTAGGATTAGCCAGCATTCTAAATATATAAATATATGTATATATAGATTTATCATTTTTTTTAATAAGCTAAAAAGTTTAACAAGGCCTTTGATATTAACCGCTCATAAAGCAACCCCATCAGTACAGTACGTTCAAGTTAATCGAGCGATGACGTCACGCACAATTAACCGTAGGTCACCACTAGATTAATCCGTTAGTAGTACTAATCTAGTTGCTCTAGGTATATGTCCTGTTACAGCCCTGCACAAATAACAAATACTATACCGAAATCAGGATTGGGAGTTCAAATAGACGAGCTGCAGTTAAAAAATTCCCATTGCACTTTCATTGAAACGATTCAAATCGCCAATCCTGACGCATTTTTCGCCTGCGACATGCCGCAGATAAAATGTAAAACTTACGATACTAATTTAATTACGATAAAAATATGAATGATTAAATCGAAACGAATAAAAAATAATAATCAGTTCGTGCGCTATCAACGTATTGCGACAAATAAAAATTTTTCATTAAATCGTAAACAGATCTTTTGCGAACAATCTTTTTTTTTTGTTGTTTCTTCATTTTTAAAAGCAGTTCTACATATCACACGATTCACTTTGAGATCTCTATAACTCTATTTTAAAAATCGCCATTCTGAAAACAGACAATAGATATAACACATACAATAACATCAAAAAAAAACCATCAATAGAATCTGAATCGAAATCACTCAATTGTTCTTATTGTTATTCAATCTTTTTTTTATATAAAAAACTATATCACTCTTTATAATACTCCAGTATTCTACAATTTTTTTTTCATATAAGCACGTTTACGTATATTCCTCTCTTTCGTGTTCATATTGTCATGAAAAATACAATCTATCTATTTTCAAATGCACCCATTTTATCCAGGAATACAATTTTACGCAAAGGACCGGAACAGTCCAACAACAATTTCAATTAAACAATTTTCATACATGGTTCATAGGATGTATAGCAAATGGAGCGTACCTTGCCTGTTTTTTATAAAACACCCTGTATATTTTGCTTTTATTGAAACCTACTCAACGAGCTGATTTCAACGAGGGGTCACACTTACTACTTATTTTGAATTGTACTAGATACTAACATTACTTGATACAGTGTGGTCAAAAATAAACCTGTATAGTAAGCATAGAGTCTCCTCGACAAGCCGATTTCAACGAGGTGTCACACTTACTATTTATTTTTATACTAAAATTATCCGATACAGGGTGATCAAAAGTCAAAATCCTCCATTCACTACGCATCCCTTTAGACCCGGCATATCAAGTAGTACGGTATAAAAACAATAGGGTTCATCGTCGCTGGATTGCTCCGGGTCGCAGAAAGGCAACGTCGATTTCGTTCGTCCTGCGCAGCCGGTTTTTCTACTCCAAGCGCTGCCTCCTGCCGCCCTCCGCTTGGTCCTCCTCGTCGCAGATTTGATCCGGAGCCGACCATCTTCGTTTCCTCGCGGCGGCGCTCTCCGGCGATACCGGCCTCGACGGGTACTTCGACGAGAGGTGCAGGTTCATCGGCTGCGTCTGTATCGATGGCTGCAAGAAGAACCAGTTCAATGCAGGAAGAATTGTAAAGCGCCAAATGGGCAATATGTACACTATAAGGATCGAGCTGCTGGAAGAATCAATGCTAGTGCAGCAAGGATCTTCCTAGGGGAAGCTTCTTTAAGGAGACTAAGAAGTTTCCTGAAGAAGACCCTCCTTAGATACACTAAGGATCTTCCTTAAGATGACTAGAGATCTTCCTCAATGCAAGATGCTTTATTAAGAAGGCCCAGAATCTATCTTATCCAAGAAGCTTCTTTAAGAAGTCCAAGAAGTTTCCTTAAAAAGACCTTCCTTCAATAGACTGAGAATCGTCCAAGAAGCTTTCTTAAGAAGGCCAAGAAGTTATCTTAAAAAGATTTTCCTTTAACAGACTAAGAAACGTCTAAGAAGCTTCATTAAGGAGACCAAGAAGTTTTCTTAAAAAGACCTTCCTTTAATAGACTTAGTAACATACCGAAATAATTCTTAATAGGACTAAAATAACTTTCTTAAGAAGTCCAGGAAGCTTCCTAAAGTACAAGAAGTTTTCTTAAGAAGACCTTTCTTAAATTGACTAAGAAACGTCCAAGATTTATTCTTAAGGCTAAAAAAACTTTCTTAAAGAGTCCAAGAAGCTTGCTTAAGAAAGCCAAGAATCTTCTTTAACAAAACCAGGAAGTTTCTTAAAATAGTCCAAAAATCTTCCTTCTTAAGCAGACTATGGAGCTTCCTTAAGAACCTTCTGCCTGAATCACCCAACAAGGTTCCTTAAAGACATCAAGGACCTTCCATAACAACTCGACCTGCTCTAAACCTCATTCATATAGCTGGACGATTCGGTATTGGCGCAGTACCTTGGGCTCCGGCGGTTGTGTTTTGGTCGTGTGCTGCGGCCTGGCGGTCATCGACGTCCTGGTGGCCGTCGTGATGATCGTCGCGCTCGCCCTGGAGGCGGCGGGCGGCGTCCATTCGCGCGGCGTCAGCGACACCAGCACGTCGCCGACCTGCAGCCGGTGCACCTTCAGCCCGAAGAGCCGCTGCGTCCGGTCCGGGCTGCAGGACGCCCAGCCTTGCCCCACCACGAAGTACGGATGCTCCAAGGAGGACTCCACCTCCGCCTGCAACGAGGAATCGGTACAGTTAGTAGGATTGATTGGGTGTGATTGTGGGAGATGTGTATTACCTGCGCTCTTCTATTGTTGTAGGATAAGGTGATGACGGAGTTGCCGAGCTGCGGGTGCTCGTCGATCTTCACGACGGTACTCTCGGCCAATCGCAGCTCCGCGCTGCGCTCCGCCGACGTGATGAAGTCCTCGGTGCGCATCTCTTCTATCCTCCGCAGCTCGCCGTTGTGCAGCTGTATCAACGAACCTTTGGTGAAGTTTAGAGGTAATACGTTGTTGTTGTTGTTGGCGGGCAGCTTCCTCGGCGATCTGGGCGGCGATATGCTGGCCTGCAGCCGCTTCCTGCCCTCGGGCGGCTTCTGGAGATCCAACGGACTGGCCTTCGCGTCGTCCGGCCTGGTGAGGATCCGGTGCTTGAGCGAGCCCTCTTTGCCGGGCACCTTGAACGACGGGCCGTGCACGGCGACCTTGCCGGTTTTGAGGCCGGGCGGGCTGAGCGCCGGCGCTTCGGCGGGCGCGCGAAAGGTCGCCGCCGGCGACGGGAACGTCTCGATCGGGGAGACGGGCGTCGGCGGGAAGTTGGCGCGCATGAGATACGTCGGGACGTTGGTCGGTTGGCACAGCGTGTAGGGGAAATGGTACTGCGTCGGCGGGAAGAGTCGGTAGGCGCCGCCGTACGGCGACATCTCCTCCGGCGCGTCTTCTTTGGCTGCTTGCGCTAGGTTTACTGGGTTCAAGATCGTCGGCGATGAGGGGTATTTGGTCGATTGGCGGGACGGCGGCGGGATCGACCGCGACCCGTTCGAATACGGCGATACTTCCGCTCCATTATACCTAAAAAAATACAGCACAATACTCATTAGATACTTAGTAAGAGAATTTATCCAGAGGAAGAGTTGAAAGAGCTTTGCACTTGGGACCTATTATGTTAGATGGAGCCTTTGGATACTTTAAAGTCTTCCACTTTAAGTTTTGTATTTGCTTTCAAATTCGAAGATTGATGAATAGATAGAAGTTATAGTTCGACAGTATTTTATCATATAGATCTAGATGGTCTAAGAACGCCACTAGATACTATAATTTGTACCATTTTTCCTTTTAATTTAGTTTCAAAGATGAGATATGTATTTATCCAAGACTTAGTTTCAAATTTATTTGTACAACACAACGCTCATTAAACACTTAGTAAAGCTATCCAGAGAGGAAGTTAGTAGAGCTTTGCACTTGGGACCTAATATGTTCGATGGAGCCTCAGGATACTTTAATGGGTGCCAGTCTTCCACTTTAAGTTTTGTATTTGATTTCAAATTCAAAGACTGATAAATAGATAGAAGTTATGGTCCAGGAACGCCACTAGATAGGTACTATAATTTGTACAACTTTAATTTAGTTTCAAAGATGAGGTATGTATTTATCCTCGAGCACATAGTACCATTAATCATTATGCTTTACTAGCACCTTATCCAATGCATCTACCCTCTCTGGGAAAGCCTCTGGATACTTCAAAGGGTACCAGTTCTTCATATTAACTTCTATATCTCGTTTCAACGATTTCAAATCAATCCAGATGGAAAGTTGAAAGGCATAGCACCATTATCGTCCTTCAGTACTCTATCATATAGATCTAGATGCTCTAGGAAATCCTCTAGTTATTGAGATTCTAGTTAATCCCATTATGCTTCACCAGCACCTTATCCAATGGATCTAGACCTTCTGGGAGAGCCTCCAGACCCTTTAACCGGTGCAATTGCTAGTCTAAACCTCTTGATTTGATTGGAACGATAATCTAGTGAAGGGGGTTCGAAGTAAGATCGAGGATTTTCGTTACCTTGTGGTTGAGGGAAGCGGCTTCGGAGCCGGCCTAAGAAACAACTCCGGCGGCTGCTTCAGAGGTCCCCTCCAGGGTTCCGGGTAAGTCATGTACGGTGGTACTCTACCTTCCAAGCCGGCTGAAATCATCGACACCGACGAACGACAACGAAATACGTCTGGAAATAGAAAACAAAGAGGATTATTTCGCGGTATTCCGAACGACACCTGAATTGAATGGTCGAGTTTTCGATAGAAAGAGGTAACACAACTGCGTAGTAAAACGATTATCTATAATTATTATGAAACGTATCGTAATTATGCACGTATGATGAATGTTTTACAATTAGCTCGAGTTACACAATGAGCTTGCATCTGCGGCGTAAACGAATTCGAGCAGATTACAGAAAGATCGTCGATTCGCTCGGGTGCGAAAATTTCAAAATTAATTCGTTAAAAAACACGTCTATTATCCCATTTAATTATCGACTACGTACACCTACGGTAGCTCCATTGTAAAACAACATCCTGTAGAGTTGGCAAACGGATAGTGGAGTACAATTTTGCATTAACAAATTGTTTTTTTTTTTAATCGGCTTTCGCATTTTAACATCGATCGATTGAGGAAGGTTATGTAACCGTCTAACCTTCGCCTTGTACTCGACTTTACACACGACACACGCTCACGTACTCGCGAAACGCCGTACAGCCGCAAACGTATCGTTTATTCGGCGTTATTCATTGCGATCCGTACTCCACGATCGGTGACCTTGTCGAGTCTGATGTGTCTGTCTCCAACCGGCGTTCGCGTAAAATTCGCTCGCTGCTGGTGTTCGCTTATTTTAATACCCAATACCTCAAAATACCTGTCTAACAGCTGTTACGATCGCTATTTCACGAACGTTTAAAGCAAATCGCCGGCAGGTACTGTTTTGGGGCTCTATTGGATGCGAATCTGGCCGGCAACGGGACCGGAATCCATTCAAAAACGTTCAAAAAGTTTTTGCACTTTACTGCCCTTCAACAACTGATAACGTAGTCGCATTGTATGCTAATCTGGGTAAGATAGTGTAGGTTGGTGTAGGGTAGGGTAAGGTAAGGTAGGGTAGAATAGTGCAGGAGTACCGAGCAGAGTAGAGCATAATAAAACAGATCAGAAGAGAACTAAGCAGAGCAGAAGTAGGTAGAGTAGACTATAGTAAAGCAACGATCAGAGTGAAGCAGAGTAGATTAGAGCAGAGCAGAGCAGAGTAGAGCACAGTAGAGTTGAGCAAAGTAGGGCAGATCAAAACAGAACAAATCAAAACAGAAGAATTGAAAACATAACAGATCAAAAAGAAGAGATCAAAACAAAGCAACTCAAAAAACAGAAATAATGAAAACATTGCAGATCAAAGCAGAGCAGATCAAAACAGAACAAATCAAAATAGAAGAGATTTAAACATAATAGATCAAAAAAGTAAAGATCATAAAAGAGCAAATCAAAACAGAAAAGATGAAAACATTGCTGATCAAAATAGAAGAGACCAAAAAAGACCAGATCAAAAAAGAGCAGAACAGATTAGAGTAGGGAAGATAAGGATAGGGTACATTGAGAAATCCTAATATATACAGATTGTCCCAATATAAGTAGATTCAGATGATTCACGTTCAACTGAGATATAAAGGCACAAAAGAAAGTATCTAAATAACTAAATATCCTGATACTACATAAATTTACATAACGAAATGTGTGGTGGAATCGTCATAGAAAACCCACACGACAACCACGCCTGAATCGAACGTCACGCCGTAAATCCCCAACCGAAAATCAACTATCAATTCTAATAATATTAATAAAAAAAACAGAATTCTGTTCCAAAACGAGCCAGTACCGAAACGTCCTGCTGGCAGGTAGCGTAAAATAGTATTTGTAACATTGAAAACGTCGATAAAACGCGAAAATCGCCTTGAAAAGGCCCCGGCGAGCGGGAGCGGCGCGACGCCCGGGGGGGAGGCGGCCGTCGTGACGCGTCCGCTGGCGGGAGGCGGCGCGGGAGCGGGGGCGCCACGCGCTTCGGGGCCCCTCGATTCATAAAATAGGCTTCGGACCTGCCTCCATCGATTGTTATTCAGTTACCGTTGGCGGATTTCTAGGTCGTAACCCGGATCGGGCGGTTCATTCACTGATGTAGAAACGAAGCGGTCCCGGTTTCCCTTTGAGCGCGCTGGAAAATTCAACCGGGGTGGATATATTTTTTTTTTCGACGGAAATAGATTCGCTCGGATTGTCACATTTTTTTTTTTTGAAAATATGTCAATGGATATTGGCGATAAATATCTTCGTGCATTAACTCAACGAATTATTTAAAACACTCTACTTGTTTAAAACATTGCAAAAATTAATTTGTGTAGTAATAATAAATAAAAAATTATTGGTCCAAACGATAAATTAGTACCAACGAAAACGCCGTTTGGTACATAACACCTGCACCACTCACCAAATATCAATTATTCCTTCTCGAAACGAAGAGACCCGATTAATTCGAGAGAATTCAAAAAAAAACCGGTAAGAATGTGGAATATCTTCGGTTGATAAAAAATAAAAACTAAACACTATAGAATTCCTAGCGCCGCGCCAACGCGCACTTTCGACAACCTCTCTCCGGTCCGTCTGGCCTTTTCCGCGGCACCGGTCATCGAGTTTACTCGACTACTACACAATACTATCAACTCTACTATACTACGCAGCGAGAGGTTCGCCGATATATCTATCCTTTACGTTTCCATCTCGTGCATACGCACGCACTTGAGGAATGCCTGAAGAGATTTCGAAATTCTTCAGATCGACCGGCGTGGTAGGGGTGTCGGAGTCGCCCCGACGGTTATTGAATGTTTACTAGTAGGGGCGGTGATTGCCAATCAAAAGTCACGCGGATTCGAAAGCTGCACTAGCATTGCTTAAAAATCAAATTTGTTCTAATTTTTGTGTTCAACGACAGTTTTATGCGCCTTTTTTAATCAACTCTAACGCAACATGAAGATAAGTTGATCAAATCAAGCAGAGAGGCCTATCATGGACCTTACATGGACCTAACATGGACCTACTATAAACTTATAGCCCTATGTTAAACCTAATTAAACTTATCATGGACCATACAGGGACCTATCATGAACCTATAGCCCCATCATAAACTATATTAAACGTATCATGGACCTTACTTGGACCCATCATGGACCTACTATTGACTGATAGACCTATTATAAATCCAATTAAACTTATCATAGTCATTACAAGGACCTACTATGGACTTATAGATCTATTATAAATCTAATTAAACGTCATCATGGACCATACATGGACCTATCATGAACTTATAGCCCTATCATGGACCTACTATTGATTTATCGATCTATTATAAACGAAAGTAAACCTCTCATAGACCTTACATGATAGCTACAGTAGACCAAAAAAGTATTCGTACAGTTGCATTATGTTCTGGAAGTCCGCGTTCAGTAAACAGAAACAAGAAGTAACTAGCAAATTAAAATCTACATTTCAAGACTATTCTTGCAATCATTAATTAACATTGTTATTAAAAATGTAAAATAAAAAAAACGAAAAATGTTTGCATTATCCCCAAAATAAGTATTCGTACAGCAACGTTTTATCAATTTCTTCACTCTGTAGATATTAAATTGTTTATTGTTTTCGCCGGTATATTAGTATTAGGTTGAGCTCCTAGTTCTGTTTTCAAAATAATTCAAGTTTACCTTAAAATGCCTAGAAAAACTGAAGAAATAGATGGTGACTTAAAAAAGTCATCATCCATCATTTTATAGAAGGAAAATAATATAAGGAGATAGGTAAAATTGTTCAAAAAACACATATTACAGTTCAGTACATTGTGAAAAAATATAAATCTACTGGTTCCGTGGAAAATAAGTCAAGACCGGGAGGTACTGCCAAGTTAACTCAACGAGATCAGAATTTCATTTATCAAAAAGTTAAAAAAATTCCCTTTGTAAGTGCTCCATACATCGTTTCTGAACTGGAATCCAGTACATGGCATAAGATCCATCCGGAAACTCTTCGATACCACATTAAGCGATTAGAATATAGAGGAAGAAGACCTGCTAAAAGCCAAGGATAAATAAGAAAAAACCAAAGCTAAGAGTGGAGTTTGCTAAGCGTTACATTAATAAACGTTTAGAGTTCTGGAACCAGGTTATATTGTCAGATGAGAGTAAGTATAACATTTTTGGATCGAATGGAGCCAAATCTGCCTGTTAATTGTTTTTTCATTTGTATATTTATTAAACGGGTAATTACACGTATAATGATTATAATACGAGTGTACGAATACTTTTTTGGTATACTGTATCATGAAGCTACAATGGAGTTAAAGATCTATTAAAATTTTTGTGAGAGTTTAATAATCCTGAGAAGGTTCGATTTCGTGTAAATTTACGTCCCTCGAAACGTTTGTGCTCTCATTGTTATCTATTGTGGTGGTAGCGAAGGAGATGGTACCGGCGCCACTATAATGGTTGGTGTTCTTCTAGGAACGAGAAGAATCAGACGGGGCACAATGGAATTCACGCCAAGCAGGTATAATCGGTTCTCGAGAACATAATAGATTTTACTTTTGCTGGCATTTTATGGTTCACTTTCGGACTTACCTGTTCCGTCTGTTTTTCTTTTAACAAATTTAGAAATAATGGAAACGCATCAGCGAGGTACTCGAACGCACAATGAGGTACCTGTACCGAAACAGGACCATTGTGCGGCGATATTTTGCGACACGATTTCGTTTTTGGCCTTTTCTAAAGGATATTTTGAAAGGTTCGAGTGGGTGTCCACAATAGGGGAGAGCACAAGAGAATTGTTGTGTGGTCGTTACTACGAATTTTTTAATTGCAAACTGAAGAATTGGGTTAGAAATCATATTTTTTGCTGATAGCACTTTGAAGAAGGGTATCGCCTATAAACTAAATCAAAAGAATTCTAGGTTTATTGAATCTTCATCAAATTTTATATCGATTTCCTTAAGAAAAAAATTACAAGATACACAAAAATTTACCTACAATTCACAAAACCTCAATTATCTCAAAAACTAATCTAGATAAGAAAACGAAATTTTCATCATTTTGTAGAAAAAAGAATTCTCTACAACTTTGAAAGAATCAAAAATTTTCAAAAACCCCCAAATTTTCGAAATATATTGACTTAGAAAAAACGCATTCAGTGAAATTCTTTAACAAACTTTAATCAAAAACGGGAAGTGAAAGAGCCCCATCATCGACATCTTCTTCATCTAAATCGGTAATTTGGTAGCATCACACGAATTCTGGTTCAAATCGAGTAAAACATTCAAAGCAAATCCGAATTAGCTAGAGTGCTCGAGTACGAATTGATTAATAAAATCGGAAAGGATTGGTTGAATGAAATCGGCGTCGCGCCGCCGCTGGTGCAACGAAACACATTCAGCTGTTTCTATTAACCTTGATGATGAGAGAGCTTACGTAAGCACAAAATGTAGTGAAGTGAAGCATTATAAATACAATAGAACCGTGACAGCTTTTCGAAAAATTTCTCAAAAAAAAATAATAATAATAAAGCGAGTCCGGCGCTAAACAATAACATCGATTTGGTACGTGTAACCGGAGTGATAGCCAACGATTAGCGCATTACTAGGTGATAAAATGTACAATAATAAATAAATTTTGTCGTAATTTAGTTCCCCGGCCTCTGTGTATATCTGTACGGTTTATTTATAGATACTTATGAATGTAGATAACGCACAGATGACTGACAATTGGACATTCTACGAATATTCGAAACCGCACCGAACCGATAAGTTTTCGGTTTAAGATTTTCTCCAGTGCGGAAAGAAAAGCGGAAACAAATCTACTCACGTTAATTGAATTACACGAATTCGCATACCTTCGTCGAATGACTGACGATCGTACGTTCCGTATCCATGCGAGCGCGATCGCTTTTACAAAAAATCCCAAAATCAATCGAATCGGCCCGATTGATACGTACGGAAAAAAATAAACAAATAATTTTCTTCTTCTCACTTTTCCGCGATTTCCCCGGCCGCGTCGATGCCCGTACTACATACTACTGCCCTATCCGCCGATTTTACTATCAGCATTCAATACCGCGCCATCGACCAATGCGAGCCCGACTACGGGCCACGACAACGGTGAAGGTTGATTACGATTCCGTCGCTGGCTGGCTGGCTGGCTGGCTGGCTGGCGGGCCGCACAGCTCGAGTCCGTGTGTGCACGACGATACGAGCCTTCGCTCCTGCTCGGACGGCGTTTTCTCTTTTTCGCCGTGTTGCCGGGCGACGAAGCGGCGGCGTTGCCGCGATTCCGCTTTTCCAGGTGCGGGCGATGCCGGCCTGGAAATGATCCCTATAAAACGGGAATGGTGCTACACCCATCACTGAGCAGATGATTTTGGATAAAACCGAGCTAAAGAGACATGAAAGAGTCCTGGAGTATCTATCATATGGATTAGGTGGTCCTTGGTTCATGGTTCATGGTCTCTTTCCCGGCCGGTGGCGACGGAATAATCCCTATAAAACGGGAATGGAGCTACACCCATCCCTGAGCAGATGATTTTGGATAAAACCGAGCCAGAGAGATATAAGAGAATTCTGGTGTATCTATCATATGGATTAGGTGGTCCATGGTCCATGTTCCATGGTCTCTTTCCCGGCCGGGACCGACGGAATAATCCCTATAAAACGGGAATATCGCCCTGGAATGGAGTTACACCTATCCCTAAGCAGGTGATTTTGGTTAAAACCGAGCTAAAGAGGCATAAAAGAATCCTGGAGTATCTATCATATGGATTAGGTGGTCCATGGTCCATGGTCTCATGTATAATTTATGACTCAACCTTCTGAGTAGTTGGGGATTGTCAGTGCTTTTATATTATTACTGGGGTTTTCTCTCACATTTAAGACCTTTCTGCGAAGATCTATCTAATTTTTTCCTACAAAATTGAACTGTTAAAGAGAGGGATATGGCGCTAGATTTGAATTAGGTACTGCAGATGTCCAGGCGATTCGTAAATAGAAGAAATTTGATGAAACTGAGCCAGAAAGACTTGAGAGAATCGAGGAGTAACAAGTGGATCGATATTGGCTTAGGTCCAGTTCATGGTCTCTAGTCTCTAGTCTATAGTCCTTGGCTTAATCTTCTGAATAGGAGTAGCTGGGGATTGTTAGTAATTATTACTGAGTTTTTCTTCAACATTTATGTCCCTTTTACAACTAAGTATCTATACCAACTTGTGACCTACAAAATTGAGTTAATGAAGAAAGACTTTAGAATTGAAAATAGAAATAAAGAACCTCTTATTATTAGCAAATGGGCATCTTTAGGAACTCAAAGGTAGGCAGATTGAGTAACATAGGCCAGTCCTCTAGACCATAGGTCAAGAGGAACTCATGACCTTCTTGTTCAGTTCAAGAATGGATTATATGGTTTATGGTCCATGGTTCAACCTTCAGATTTGAAGAGGTAAGAGTTTCTTTTTTTTGGTACATATATCTCAATTTTTCAAATTACCAACAATAAAACCTAAGAAAAATTAAGGAATAAACTAAGGAATCTTCAAAAGGAAACCTCTAAGGACCTTTCTTCTGTAAATTTCATCATTCATACATTCTTATAGACAGTTTATGAAATTTTCTTCCACATTTAAGCCCACTTTACAACCGTCCATCTATTTTTTCCTATACGCAAATTACATTTATCATGAAATAATTAACATCAACTAGTTACAAAACGCTTCATTAAATCGAGTACGGTATATACTATACTAGCGTACAAACAAACGTTTTTCGAAAACAAATAATTGTCCAACGAATTCCGGATTTTATACGGCCGAGTACGACGCGTACTCGACAATTATCATTCGAATGCAACAAACTCGCGGACCATGATTCACTTAATTAATATAAATTAAAAGCGTCATTGTCGGTTGGCTTCGTGCACGCTATTTTATGCGTTTTTGTGTACGGCACCGTTTTCGGATTCGTAATACGAATTATCTGCGTTGTTTTTCGCTGCGGATCTACCGTGTAATATTCGAACCAGGAAATGGATTTCGTTAACCGAGCGGTGATTTACGTTGACACGAAACTACATACAAACGATCCAGTACGTGTGTGCATAAATACGGCGTTTACGAGGGGACTTTATGTAGTACTACTATTAAATGATTGTTAATTGTTTTTATTCTATTATTAATTTATCGTATAATTGCTGATTAATTAAGCGGTGCTTGTTGAAATGGTACCCGCAAAACTGATAAGATAAAGCCTATGTTATCCTCTTTTTTCGAGGAAATGTTATTTATTTTTAGGAAATTTTTATTAACTACAAATTAAACCACCCTCGTAATCGTGAATAATCTTAAAGAAGGGGTTTACTATTCATTCTATTATCGACACATACATTTTACTCAACCTTCGCAAGTAAAATAAATTAAGAAGAAATTACGAGGGGGCTACTATTCGTTCTATTACTATAGTAGTCATCTATTTTATTACATTTTTCAATGAATAATAAATACATCTTATTATTAGAAATATTAGTAGTAGTAATAGCACTGATTTTTTTGTTTAGAAGGTAAGATTTTATGAATACTTTCTAAATAAGATAGTTTCTGGATTGATTAGTGAGAATATGCCTTTTTTTCAAGGAAATATCCCAAAATTTTCATTACTTACAAATTAACCCACACTCGTAATCATTAAAAAAAATCTAAATGGAGCTACAAGGGGCTTACTATTTGTTCTCCTATCAACACCAACACTTACCACACCATTGTAATTAAAAGCAACTAAAAGAAGCTACGAGGGGATTACTATTTGATTTTTTTAACACCAACAATTAAGACTCTACCTTCGTAATTAAAAAAAAATGTTAGAAGAAGCTACGAGGGGGCTACTACTAATTATCCTCTATCAACACGTCTTTATTTTATAATATTTTTCAACGAATTACACATCCTCATTTACAATTTCACAAATGACAAACAGTCCTGCTAGCATAAATATATTTATTAGAAATAGTAGTAGTAATAGTAGTGATTTTATTTGGTTTAGAAGGTAAGATTTTATGGATACTTTCTAGATAAGATAGTTTCTGGATTAATTAGTGAGAATATGCCTTTTTTCAAGGAAATATCCCAAAATTTTCATTACTTACAAATTAACCCACACTCGTAATCATTAAAAAAATCTAAATGGAGCTACAAGGGGCTTACTATTTGTTCTCCTATCAACACCAACACTTACCACACCATTGTAATTAAAAGCAACTAAAAGAAGCTACGAGGGGATTACTATTTGATAACTTATTAACACCAACAATTAAGACCCTACCCTCGTAATTAAAAATAATGTTAGAAGAAGCTACGAGGGGTTTACTATTCATTCTATTATCAACACATACACTTTACTCGACTTTCGCTAGTAAAATAAATTAAGAAAAAATTACGAGGGGGCTACTATTCGTTCTCTTATCCACAATTACCTTACCCTATGTAATAAAAAAATCTAAATGAAGCTACTACTAATATTATCCTCTATCAACACGTCTTTATTTTATAATATTTTTCAACGAATTACACATCCTCATTTACAATTTCACAAATGACAAACAGTCCCGCTCGCATAAATATATATATACCAGAGGTCATTGGCGTTTTATGTATAAATACATGAAGCGGTTTGTTGAGTTTTGTATCACTCCGCGGCTGCCAACACGTCTCTCCAAATTATCATTTTCATTATTAGCGCAACATCTCGCATATTATTGCGTTAGCACAGCCAACAACAGCCCGGTTTAAGCACCTCTCTTAGCCCAAACAAACAAAAAAAAAAAAACCAAACCCACGTAAACCATACCTACTTGCAAACGGACGAATCAAATCGACGCCATCGCCTCGAAAATCGCGCGTCGCGACGCTCACTGCCTGCAAAACAAACGGATCACGCGCGCACTACCAACGTTAATTTAGCGTTTAGCGTTAAGTTTTAGCGTGGCGGGCGCGTCGACTGGGCCGCGGCTGGCTTACGATAGGCGGCGTGGTCCGTTTTCAGTAAGTTTACTTTACTACGAACCACAACTGGAATGTGGTGGGGTTACTATGGCACAGCGGACCGGCGCGAGTCGTGGCCGGCGGCGCCGCGGCGGCGGCGTCGGCGATTCGCGGCGGGCCGCTCTAGGTAAGAAAGTTCAGGGAGCCTGCCGAGGTACTGCGTCGAAATGTGAAATGACTGGGAAGAGGAGGATGAACAAAAAAAAATATCGAAACGAAAACAGAATGTGTGTTACTATCCGTGAAAAATGGCTCAGTTTGAACAAAGCGATGGTTTTGTATCTAAACAACGAGCAAATTGTAATCGTTTATTTTACAATTTCTCGAACATGTAAATATGTTAATTCACGTTTTTTTTTTCTCTAAATTGTTTCATTTAAGTGATCAAGCCGGTATTACGGATTTGATGTTTCTAAAAATTCATCAACGGAAAAGCTATGTATAACAAGTGTGTGGTTATAATACCAGCTATATTATATACCTAAAAATAAAAAATATTGACTATTCAATAAATAAAGTTCAGAGAGCCTGCCGAGATACTGCTTCGAAATGTGAAATGACTGGGAAGAGGAGGATGAACAAAAAAAATGTCGAAACGAAAACAGAATGTGTGTTAACGTTGCGTCTATCGGTGAAAAATGGCTCAGTTTGAACAAAGCGATGGTTTTGTATCTAAACAACGAGCAAATTGTAATCGTTTATTTTACAATTTCTCGAACATGTAAATATGTTAATTCACGTTTTTTTTTTCTCTAAATTGTTTCATTTAAGTGATCAAGCCGGTATTACGGATTTGATGTTTCTAAAAATTCATCAACGGAAAAGCTATGTATAACAAGTGTGTGGTTATAATACCAGCTATATTATATACCTAAAAATAAAAAATATTGACTATTCAATAAAGCAACAATTACATTATCGGAACCGGCGCAAGTTTTTTATTTTTCAATTCGGTACTTCCCCGATAACAAAAAACCTCTCCGATTCGAACTAGAACAGTCAAAAACAAGTACATTATTATTTGTCAGTTATTATATTTTAACGTTAGTAATGCTAGTTATTAATTAGAAAATCATTAATTAAGAGAAAATCAAATAACTCAAAGAATCGTTCTAAAAATTCTCTAAAAAATGACGTATTTTTGATATCATCATCACTGGTTGGTCAATTAATCGATGAAAAATCCAATCAAAACATTATTGAGATTTGCCCGGAACGATTTTCGAGATTCTAGATGCAAAATTTCTCATATAACAACGAAAAAAAAAGATCTTATTATCTACCTAACAATATATTCGTTTAATTTACTAAAATTATTGCTTTCATTACTTCGTATCTTATCTTATATTACACGAAAGATTAAGAAAACAGACACAATAAAATATAAGAAGAAAAGTGAAATACCCAAGAAAACAGACTCGTATAGAATAGAAGTTAAAGTTAGAAATTAGACATCTAACCTCTCACAAAATCGAATCCGCATTACGCACAAACAACATCGAATATTTAGCAAAATATCATATTATACACAATATAATCTCCCTGCTCCATTTATCAATCACAATATCTATCAGTCAACTAATTATTTTTTTCCTTACATAATTTTATCGATTTCATATACTCCCTAAAACGCGGCGCGATAGCCTAGAAGCCCGCCTTCATCAAGCACTCCACGTCGGCGTCCTCGGCCGACTCGTCCGACGACGCCGGCGACGGCGACGAGACGGCGCTCATCAGCGACGCCCCCAGCGTCGGCTGGCGCGAGAAGCTCGACCGACGCTGGGCGGCGTTCGTTATCCACGACGGCCGTCGCAGCGACGACGTCGCGTACGCCTCCTCCGGGATGATGTCCCTGGTGATGGACCTGAAGAAACACTCCAATGAAAACAAGAATGCATATTTTGTTGGCAAAATAGGAAGAAGAAGCTGTGGAAATGGGACTATCTTGGATCAAACTTGGATATTTGGTTGGCTGGATGCATTCGTAAGAGGTCGCAAGATAGGAAGAAGAAGCTGTGGAAATGGAACTATCTTGGATCATACTTGGATAATACTTGGATAATACATATTTTGTTGGCTGGATGCCTTCGTAAGAGGTCGCAAAATAGGAAGAAGAAGCTGTGGAAACGGAACTATCTTGGATCATACTTGGATAATACATGTTTTGTTGGCTGGATGCCTTTGTAAGAGGTCGCAAAAAGGTAGAAGAAGCTGTGGAAATGGAACTATCTTGGATCATTCTTGGATAATACATATTTTGTTGGCTGTATGCCTTCATAAGAGGTCGCAAAAAAGGTAGAAGAAGCTGTGGAAATGGAACTATCTTCCATCATTCTTGGTTAATACATATTTTGTTGGCTGGATGCCTTCGTAAGAGGTCGCAAAAAAGGTAGAAGAAGCTGTGGAAATGGAACTATCTTCGATCATTCTTGGATAATACATATTTTGTTGGCTGGATGCCTTCGTAAGAGGTCGCAAAAAAGGTAGAAGAAGCTGTGGAAATGGAACTATCTTGGATCATTCTTGGATAATACATATTTTGTTGGCTGGATGCCTTCGTAAGAGGTCGCAAAAAAGGTAGAAGAAGCTGTGGAAATGGAACTATCTTGGATCATACTTGGATAATACATATTTTGTTGGCTGGATGCCTTCGTAAAAGGTCGCAAAATAGGAAGAAGAAGCTGTGGAAATGGAACTATCTTGGATCATACTTGAATAATACATATTTTGTTGGCTGTATGCCTTCATAAGAGGTCGCAAAAAAGGTAGAAGAAGCTGTGGAAATGGAACTATCTTGGATCATACTTGGATTATATATATTCTGTTGGCTGGATGCATTCGTAATAGGTCGCAAAAAGGTAGAAGAAGCTGTGGAAACGGAACTATCCTGGATCACAGAAAGTGTATAAAACAGTACCCGGTGTTGAGGTCCATCATGGAGCCCCTTCGGGGCTGCCGCCTCTGGCCGGGCGGTTGGGGAATGGGCGACAGAGGCGCCGGTTTGGCGGCGACGCCCAGCGGATCCGGCTCTTTATCGACGTCGTCCACCAGCAAGGAGGTGCTGCGGCCCGACGAGTTCCGGCGCTCCTTCTGCGGCGTGGAGTCGGCGCTGCAGGACTGCTCGGAGCCGAGGCTCTCGCGCCGGAACAGGCCGATGACGGACGAACGGGGATTCTCCAGGCCGCCTGCGACGGTGGGTGAGATCGTTAGAATGATTGGGGTGTTATCGATTGGGGTGCATACCGAGGAACGTGGCCGATGGTGAATTGTACGCCAGGTATTCTTTGTTCGACGCCCAGCCGGGGAATTCGCTTTGGAGGATCGGCACGCAGCCGCCTTCTTCGTCTCGTTTCCAGGGCAGCATCATTTCTGTGGCTGTTGGTGTCGAAACCCTCATGAACTCGCCTGCTAAGGAGACACCAGAAATAATGAAATTTTTGTTACACAGAGAAACTGCCGGAGCTACACGAGGAATTGAAAATTGTAGAATAACTAATGAATCTACAGGAAAACTTTGGAATTACTGAGCAACTGGAGTTAGATAAAATACAGAGGTAATTGTGGAAACTGGAATTACTTGAGGACCTGCTGAAATAATTATAGAAACTGAAGAAACAGAAACTACAAGAGGATCTGAAAATAATAGAGAAATAATGAATCTGCAGGAAAAATGGGAATTACTGGAGAACTGGGTTTAACACAAAAACTGTTGGAGTAATCGTGGATACTGAAGAAACAGGAATTACAATAGAAAATAAAAATAATAGAGAATCTATTGAATCTACAGGATAAACAAGAATTTTAAAAATTGGACAAACTACAAGAGGAATTGATGAATCTACAAAAAAAACTGCTGAATCTACAGAAGAAAGTGGTGTTAATAGAAAAAATATTGTAGTTGAATAATCTATCGAAATTGAAAACATTTAATTACCATCGATGGATCCTTTGGATGACCTTTTGAGGCTGGCCTTATCCGAACACAGGCTTTCATCTGTAACTAAAAATAAATCAAAAAAACACCAATAAAGAAACGAGTACCTTTTAAAATAACAGCATTATAACAACACAACACACGATCACAAAGAATTTGTGAACCTTCTGACCTTTCATTTGAGAAGGTAAAATATTCTACGAATATTCCAACAATAAAACAACGAAATGAGCAAATTTCAACACAGCATGCTTCGAATCAAAACAAAATGGAGTTTGTTGTTCGCTTGATTGCGATTTTCGACCAAAAATCGGTCTGTTTGCTCGAAGAAAACTCGCCAAAGCAAAGGAGGTCTTTCCGAAGGGTTGGAAAATAATTTCGTACATGCAAAAAGAAAAACGCTTCAGCCAATCTTAGGGTAATACTCACGTGACAATTTCGCCGTGAATGTAATAGGACTATCCCATTCTTCTCTAATAGTTTTCGAGGATGGTTCGTTTTCGTCCTCGTTTAGTACTTCGCTTATGTAATCTAATGTAAAAAGAAACAAAAGCGAAAGTACAACACTATGTTCTCTACGAGGAGCTTTTCTTTTACGCGACGAAATCCTCGAATATTGTTTGAATAAGTGTATAAGAAGAGACGGTTGAACAAGAAATGCTCGTGTGGTAATTGGAAAATATAGCGGAAGATTTCGTGTTGAGATTTTTATTTTTTATTAATCCACTTACCCGTACAAAAATGCTTGGCTGTTCCGTTTTGTTGAAACTCCGGAAAACTCACGTGGTTTTGTTTACCCTCCTGTGGAAAAATTCCGAAGTTATTATAACTGTTTGAGGGTTGCAAATTTGATTTTTTATTCAATTAACTCCCGTTCGAACGCCAGATTTATTGATTAAACCTAGAGAATCGCGCGTTACAAAAAAATCCAATAAGCTCCGTTAACGAGATTGGCCTTTCGAAGCTCCGATAGACTAAAATAGATACACGAAAAGTGATTTTCTATTGTACTTTTAAAGCGACCATTTATCGTGGTTACAGTGAAAAATAAATTTCGTTTCACCAATAAAAGCTTTTCGGAACGTACTTTGTTCAATTTTTTGCTGTGCCTCTTGTGGCTGTGATGGTGTTTTTTGTCCGCGACCAGTCTGCGCATGTTCACGTGCATCCTGTAATTGACTTGCGTGGAAAGATCCCGATCGTTGACGGCGTGCCTGCTGTAGCTCAGCTTCCTGTGCTGTGGGATTTATTTCACATTATTTATCACAATGGATGAAGATAAAAATCGAACATACCCGTCTGTAAGGCTTCCCCAATTCCTCGGCCAACAAATGGTGAATCTTAGCGTCCGTCAGGTCCTTCTTAGAAGGGTTATATTCTAATTCCTGCATGTCTATGTTCCAAGTGCTAGAATCTAATTGACTAAAACTCGTACTACAAAAATACCACAATGACCAACGCTCGTCACGGTTAATACGTTACGGTTTACCTGCTGTTGATGTTGGTGGTGTAATTTTTGAAAATCGCCGACATGCTTTCGGTGTTCGATATATTGCCGATGGTCGAGGCGTTCCTTCGCATGTACTCCATGGCGTCCCGCATGGCCAGCTTCGAATAGGTCTCGAGGATTTTCTGCTCGGCTCCCTGGTGGTTGCGCAGCAAGTACGGCCTGATGAAGTGGTTGTCGAACCGCTTGAACCTTTCGAACAACAATCCGGCTCGTTAGAATAAAGGGATGGTCTTTTTGGAATTAGGACGAGAAACATCGATTTTGTTTTGTGACTACTCTCTTATTGATTTTAATATACTTATAGTTTTCCTTGCGTTAATTTACGAGCGTGTTGGGGTTTGTGGCGAATCTAGGCGACTCTTTATTTTAGTTTTATTTCTTGCATTATTAATTAAACTTGTATCGATTTTACGACAGTTTTTTCGCAACCAATTGTTGTTTTCCTCGCTTTAATGGAACCAGAGCAAATTGGATATAAGAGCAAAATAAAATGATAATAAATTTAAGAATTTCCATATTTTCGAACTACAATTTTCATTACAGTAAACATGCATTGTCAGTTTCATCGATCGCAACAACAGCGTTACGCAAAATGCAAATGTAACCGAACATAAACGATTTCCATATCGCGTAACGCCGTGGAAATTTCCCCATTTACCAAATTGCTTTCGATTCCTGGAGGTAAACAAATTTTCCGAACAATTTTCTATGCAACACTCACCTATCTCGAATGTGGTAATTCCCGTGCTGTCCCAGGATATCCTCTATCCCCGCCATCGTATGATCCATCAACTGCAATTCAACAATCGAAAATTACCCGAATTTAATTTACACAAAACACCGACCCTTTCGTGTATCCTCTCGTTCATGGTAGGCTTCTTCTTCTCGGCCGTCTTCACGTTGAGGATCTTCACCAACGGCTTGATGGTGATGCCTTGGAAGAACACGGTGAAATACACCACCGCTATGGTGGTGGTCATGAACATGGGCTGTAGTTTCACCGTTCTGGGATCGATCAACAGCACCAAAGCGAAAGCCACGGCTCCTCGCAAACCACCGTAGGACATCACGAATTTGTCCACCGTGCTCAGTTGATTCAATCGAAAGCGATTGGCCAAAGCCGTTAAAATGATAACGCCTGGAAAATGATGATGTTTGAAATCGATTGGTGATGGAGGATGTGTTTATAGTACCGATGACTCTGTAAAACGAGCAGAATACTATGGTGAGTATGACGAACCAAGTGTTCCAATCGTGGTTCTTGTTGACCGTAGCGACGCCCAGGAACATGAATATGATGGTTTCCGATGAGCTGCTGAGCATTTTCATGGTGTATTTTATAGTCGTGTGAGATTTGTGTGAGATGTTCGCTTCGACGTAATTCTGCATGGTGATGCCGCAAAAAGTAATCCTATAAAAAAAACGCTACAATTAATAATAGTTTTAGCATAGCGATGGCAATTCTTACGCTAGTATTCCCGACATGTGGAATATCTCGGCGTTCAAATACGCTAAATAGGCCATAACGAATATAAAAATAGGTTCTATAACGCGCACTTCGTTCGTATATCTAGTCACTAGGGACGTCGCCATGCCCCAAATCACCCCGATCACCGTGCCGCCCAAGGCGACCACCCAGAAATTCAGGAACCCCGACAGCATGTCGACGTAGAGTATGTTCCGCAGGCCCATCTCCGTGTAGGACTCGAACAGGTGGTAGAGCACCACGGTGACGGCGTCGTTCAACAGCGACTCGCCGAACACCACTATGTACAGTATCTCGTTCACTTGGATCTCCTCGAACACCGCCAAAACGGCTACAGGATCCACCGCCGAGATCAGCGATGCGAACAGGAACATCTCCAGCAGCGGCGTATCACAGGAGAACAGACCTGTTAGTCCAACCGCCCATAAGGAAGCACCTAGACAACGATATTATCTCTTATATATCAACCATAATCCACTCAAACCAGAAACGAGTCAAGTAAGATGATTGGAAGAGGATCAATGGATATGTTGTTGTTGCAACGCTCTTATTGACTGTGTTTTGGTGCTTGGGTAAATCCTGACCGTTCTGGTTTGAGTACAGTAGAAGAACGCATCGATTTTACCTATAGTTAACGTATTGAAAATAGTACCGACGACGGCGAACAGGATTATAGTGCCGAAATGCTCGAAGAACAAGCGATTAGGCATGAAGTAGCCGGCGTCCAGGATGATGGGCGGCAGCATGTAGAAGAAGAACGTGTCCGGTGTCAGCGGAGACATGTGCACGCTGTCGGTCAGGTGTACCAATATCACGCCGATGACGACGCCCACGAAGATTAATAGGCACGATTCGGGAAACATTGCGCTCAGCTTCGGAGCCATGTGGAAACCTGCAAGTTTCGTATATAAAACAATTTTTAACGTCGTATAGAAGCTTTGTGAGTAATTTGAGTAGTGGTTAGAGTAGAATTGGCCTCAACCTTTGGTGGTTTACTGGGATTCCTGTATAAAGAAATAAAAACTTTTTTTGGTGAGTGCAAAATTCAACTTGTTGGTTAGATAATGGTACGATTGGGAATATATCTAAGGTCGTCGGTGAGGCGCCGTAATTCCTGAATGGCTGAATCCTCAAGGATTGTTGTGGGAATTTCGTCGCGGGATGCTTTATCAAATTCACGTGCAACCTTCGGTTCTCCTTCGGATCGAATGTCCTCCATAGCGAAGTGCTCGAAAACGGGAAGAAAAATGGAGTTGTATTGTAATGTCAAGGTTGATGGTGCTGGATAAATGGAGTGGCAAAATTCGCAATATACGCGAAAATTCGTCGAATTTATGAATGATTCTCCATAAAATATTGTGTTATTATCGACAGTTTGATGAATTCTAATGTATTAAGTAATAAATGTTGAGGCAAAGTTAAGGTCAAGGTTGATTAAATCTAATGCAAAATTGCATTCCCAAATCCAATTTACTATTGAACTACTAATGTATTTTTAAATTACGCCCCACCTACATGCATAACACTAACAATAACAAATCCTATCGTGTACACAAAGCGAAATCAGCTGACCAAAACCAACTAACCTATTTTGGATAAACTGGCGCAAAATATCCACAAAGCGATGATGAACGGCGTCTCGACCCTTTGGAACGACACCGATATAATCGGATACCTAACCAGCTCCTTCTCGGTCCTCTCGGTGACAGCGGGCGCCGCCGAGCCGTCCCCATCGCCCGGAGCCGCCTCCACGTCGGCGGGCACGGCGTTCCCGCGGCGCCCGTGCCGCCCGGGCGGCGTCGTCGGCGCCTTGTAGACGCTGCCGAACTCCCAGGAGGTGGCGTCGGGGCTGCCGGCGGCGGGCCGGCCGTCGGACGCGTGGTCGGGCGGCTTGGCCAGGCAGCCGCCGCCGGCGAGCAGCAGCGCCAGCAGGAGGAGCGGCGCGGCGGCGGCGGCGGGCCCGCGGCGCCGGCACGCCCGCCTCGAGAGGTTGACGCCGTGTGCCAGCGAATGCATCACATATGGATGGGGGCGCGCGATCGGGCTGCCATGGGGGCAGTCGCTGTGGCAGGTACGGGGCGCCTGACTAGACTGGGGACGGCGGACGTCGATCGGAGAGGGTCGTCGCGACGCCGGCGCTGACGGTGGCGGGTGGGGCGCAGGCGCGGCGTCGGCAATGCGGCGACGGTCGGACGGGTTTGGTGGAATTTTTTTGGAGGTGGAAAATTGATGGAAGTTTTCTGTTTGATGGATTCGATCGAGTCGAGCTCGCGCAGCGATTGGTTCACGAAATGATGTATAGAGGGATGATTGTATTTCAATTTTTGTTCGATTTCGAATTTTAACTCACCCAACTAGTATAAAGTATTGATTGGAGAGAATAATTATTAATGAAATAAATTTGATTAATAATTATTGTTTCATTAATAATTTAAAAATAAATTAGTAATTTATTAGATGTGAACTGAATAAAAAAAACGATAAGAACTCATTAATATTTAATTGTTGAAATTTAATATACTTTTATCTAGATATACATACATGGTGCAAAAATCGAAAAACACACAGGTTTGTATAATTTATAAACAATATGAATTAGGGAATTTAAAATTGAACAATACGAACGGCACTTTTAGAACTATTTTTTTTGCAAAAAGGACACCTCACACGATGAAATTTTCGTTGCTCCATTAATTTTCTTAGGCACAATAAGCACATCACATGTCCACAAGTTATTGTTCCGAAAGGTCCATCGTCTTCAAAACAAATCGGACAGGCACATTTAAAAATTGAATTATCCTCCTTTGTTGCACCTGATTCCATCATAGAATTGTTTGGTTCATTGGTTTTTTGTTCTATTTCTCTTTCTGTCATCTTATGCTTCGACTTTGTTCCAGCAAACTTTAGTAGTAAATTTTGTAAATTTATAATATACATAGACTTAAAATTTATACTGAAGATATGTATGTAGATGTTATAAATAAACAACAATCAACAGCAATAATCTGATATATTATCTTCAAAGTTTTTTGTACAAGCTTTAGGTATTTTATTAGCAATTAAAAATTAAAATACGCTTTATTGTTAGTGTATTTTACTTCGTAGTTCGTTTTAATCGGCAAATTACTAGCAATATACAGGGTGTTAATATTAATATATGGAGTAATAAAAAAATATGATAGAAAAGGTTTTTTTTTCTAAAATTGTAACACCCTGTAGTTCGAAAACTAAGAGGTTTAGGACATATATTCATATAAACTTTTGTTCTTGAAATCATCCAAATATTCACAACCTGAAGTATCGGCACTCAATTAATTAACGCCCTGTATAACTAACATATTATAGGCTCCCTCTTACACGCACTGCTCTGTGTCGATTCTCATGCGGGACACTCTGTATATCATTAATAAAGGACATTAAGGTTAAAGGATTGATACTCCATTTATTAAAACAATAATTTATTTAGCTTTTAAAATTTTTTTATACACACAACAACAATAAAACAAAGTTGCATCAACAGTTTGTTCAATTTAACGTTGCCTTCGGTAATAATTAAACTATAGAAAAAAGTAAATAGGTTTCTTGTTTCTAATCACAGACATTTCATTTCATAAATTCCCTACATTCATTTAAAATAAATGCCGTAAATTTCAATTACCTAGCTAAATATATTTTTAATGTAAAAAGGAACTAATAAATAAACCCGAACGTATGGATAAACATAAAAAAATAGTTCTATTATAGACTTATTAGAATTATTATACTAAAACCTAAATGGACAATTTCGTTAACACTTTAGTGGAACAAAAGTCTCTAAAATTATTTGAGCTAAAGCTTTTCTTTCACTTACATCTAAATATTGAGCATTTGACCTAACTTGGAACTTGTACCTCATCGAATAGAAGCCCGTTTTCTTACTAAAAATCCTACCAGCTAAATATCTCAGTAAAATCGAATAAATGTTTTTTTAAAACCCTCCTAAAATCAACAAATTTTCACCCGTATTCCTAGCAAAGCTATCTAATAATATAAAAGGCCCGGTTTCACCAACGACAAATAAATCTGTAAATAGTTTTTCGATGAATAACTTTAAAACTCCAGTTAAATATTTTGACGTTTCACCTACACTTTTAATCTTCAGTTAGCTATTTAACAGTTTAAGCAAATATTTCTGGTAAACCAACCTTTCGAATTCAAATCTTTTCTAAAAAAGAAGATTTGGAACTTCGACTTCGAACTGAATATTATTATTTTATTACATTTGTAGTTTGAGAGTGATTTTGAAATGGATCGAAAAAGGGAAAGAAGCAAAAATTACTTGGAAGAGGAAAGGAAAATTTAATAACTATAATTTTTTCTATAAAACAATTCGAGGTAATAATGAAAATCTTCATCAGATGATGTTAAACATGACGATGAAGATGATGCTAAAAATCTAATAAATTATTTTAAAAATAACTTAAAAAGTACATAATATGTAATACTTGTTGTCCATTATTTTCAAAAATACTAATAATACAACCAATAAATTAAAACAAAAATTCACAATCGGAAAAACACTTGCAAAGATATTACAAATTAATATTATTTGAGGTTACAAAACATCAAATAAAACTTTAACTGTCCAAATTATGTTGGTTAATTTAAACGTCAATTTAATCGTCGAATTTGTTGTTGCTAGAACAAAATTGTGTATTCTTATTGGACAGTTAAATTTATTCATCGAATAAAGTGCTATTTTTCGTTAGTAAAACCGGGCATATACATATAAATTAAGTAAATCATCTGATCGATGTCTAACCCTCTCGTCACACTCCCTCACACTCAAAACAAACTATCAAATCTAACAAGCAACGGCTCAAACGACGATAAGATCACAACCTTGGATTTCCTCTTAACTCTACCGCTAAATCGACTATCAACACATTCGGATCAAGGAACCATCACCCTACAAAGCGACGGGAACACCTCACCCTGTATGGGCCCGTAATCCACCAACTCCCCGTCGACCGTCATGCACCCATCCTCGCCCGCGTCCGGCTCGATCCGGAACGCCCTCACCGGCATCAGCTGCACCAGCCCCTCGAACGTCTTGGTGGTGGCGTGCGCGCCGCTGCTCAGCCCCAGCAGGAACTGCAACAGCTGCGCCCGGCTGGCGCCCGCCCGCACCACCAGCAGCCATATCCGGCCGTCGTTGAGCGTGGCGTCGGGCGCGAACAGGAAGTCGCCGCCGAGGTGGCTCTGGTAGCCGGCGTGCACGAGCACGAACCGCCCCGCCAGGCACCGCCACTCGTCCGAGTCGGATAGGGAGGCGGTGAGGGCGGGTATCTGGCTGGCGGGGCCGTAGGTGCGCGGCTTCTCCGCGCCGTCGCCGCCGTTCGTCTCGCGGCTGTCGGCGGCTTCTTCGGCGGCCGATTGGTAGGAACTGGCCGTCGCCGAGAAGTAGGCGCTTCGCTTGGAGTTGGCGCTGTACCAGGAGTCCACTCGCGGCCTACCTGCATGTAAAATATATCCGTGTAGTGCTTATGTACAGTGTAAATGGAAATGATACGACGACGATTTGCACTCCTCTTCATTGTGAGAAGAGTATTTATACTCCTAATGGTTCTCCTCTTCATCGTGAGAAGAGTTTTTGTACTCCTGTTCATTGTGAGGAGAGTATTTGTACTCCTGTTCGTTGTGAGGAGAGTATTTGTACTCCTGTTCATTGTGAGGAGAGTATTTGTACTCTGATTCATTGTGAGGAGTGTATTTGTACTCCTGTTCATTGTGAGGAGAGTATTTGAAGTATTATTCATTGTGAGGAGAGTATTTTTGTACTCTTATTCGTTGAGGGGACAGTATTTGAAGTATTATTCATTCTGAGGAGAGTATTTGTACTCTCATTCATTGTGAGGAGTGTATTTGTACTCCTGTTCATTGTGAGGAGAGTATTTGAAGTATTATTCATTGTGAGGAGAGTATTTGAAGTATTATTCCTTGTGAGGAGAGTATTTGAAGTATTATTCATTGTAAGGAGAGTATTTTTGTACTTATTCGTTGAGAGGACAGTATTTGAAGCATTATTCATTGTGAGGAGAGTATTTGTGTACTCTTATTCGTTGAGAGTACAGTATTTGTACTCCTTATGGTACTACTCTTAATTGTCAGGAGAGTATTTTTTGTTCTAATGGTACTCCTCGTCATAGTGTACCACATGTTGCTTACATACAACCACTTACCTTTTGCTTCTAAATTACTGTCGATGGCTAGATCGGTGTTGCTGCCGATGTTGCAGGAATAAGTCACGTTTTCCTTTGGATCTCTAGCCGGCTGGTCGGCTGGTAGGTACCACAGTTTCCCGCCGTAACTTCGCAGGCCTATCAAACGAGCTATAGACCATAGAGTAAATCTACAAACAAAAAAACAAACAGATTAATATCGTTTCGAACGGCTCGTGGACTCCCAGAAGCTCCGAGAAGAGAACTAGTGAGCTCTAGGGGAATCCTGCAGAGGGTCTAAAGGACTCTAGGATGTTAGAGTACAGGTTAAGAATACAGCAGGGTAAATGCAGTTAGTGTTACCAGAAGAATTCGCATTAATAGAGTCGTTATTGTTTTCCATTGAAGCACCATTGGAAAGTACACCTCTACGTGAGGAACAATACTTTAGAACGCACCTTTGTCCTCCTAATATCCGCAATTTCTCGCTTTCGATATCGATATCGGACAACAATCCCCAGCCGACCGAGAGAAACGAGAAGATGATCTGCGAGGTGGTCTCGATGCGAACCAGATCCATCGGAGCGCAGTGGTTCCTCACGATGCAAAGGGCGGCCGGTAACGTCGGAGACGGTAGATAAGGTTCCCCGTAGTAGTGAGCTATGCTGCGCGCCAGACCGTTACCGGAACCGCCCGGTACGATGCCCAGCGGCAGGGTTCTCACCACCTCGGACCAATCGCTGCGTTCGAACAACCCGTTGAGCACCTCGTACAATATCCCATCGCCTCCCACCTGCAACCGACAGCCAAAATTCGAGCCTCTATACCACCACCCGGGTAATTGTAGATAAATACCGTAATGATCCCGGTCCATTGGAACAAATTGCTGGTCCTGACGAACTCCCTGGCGTAGTTGGCGTGCTTGGTCAGGTGCAAATCGAACGGGATCTCGGCCTCTTCGAGCACCGGTATGACTTTGTCCCTGAATATGTCCTTGGCCCTGCCGGCGCCGCTCTTCGGGTTGCACAGCACCAGCAATTTGCGCGTTTCTTTGTGGCGGTGGCTCGTCGCGAACTCCGCTATGTTGCCGGTCGAGACCGATTCGCCTTTGATCAGTTTCTTGATTATCGTACGCCATCTGAAAAATCAATAAGAAGAATGAAGATTCCTACTTAAATGAAAGAAAGAAATTACAGAATGTATATTAGTTAGAATTGAATGAAACTTCTCGATTAATCACGTTCAAACAAACGCTCCGATTATTCGAGTAAATATGTACAGTGAATCATAATTGTGATATATCATTTGATCCTCCTCTCGGCTTAAGTTAAGTAAATTATTCAGTGTTTAATTGGCTACCGTAAGATACGCTTCGTACGATTAAGTAATCACCGTTAAAATTAGTCTAATTTACTTACAGATAGGCGACGAGTTTGTTGAAAAGTAAGAAAATCATTATTTTTATCATCACTTCTACTTATATTACTGCACCGCGTTGCATTACTAGGTATGAGTAATGTGAAATTTAAAACGATTCAATTTAGCATACGCTTATTAAAATATACAAACCACACCGAAACACTGCAATCAATAGGTCATTAATTTTAAATTTAATTAATGCAAAAAAAGCGTGTGTTTCGTTTTATTAACCAATCGATTGAATTATATCCATTCGTCACATTGTTACCAAACGCTGTTATCTCTATCGATAAGAAAATACATTTAAATAACAACAACCAAGTATACGGCACGCTCTACTATGCAGACTTCTTTGCAAGCACATAGCATAAACTGTTATTCAGCCACAAAAAACTGTTATGCAGCTACAAAAACTGTTATTTAGCTACAAAAACTGTTATGTATCTACCATAAAAACAGCTACCATAGCTAAAAACTGTTATGCAGCTACAAAAACCGTTATATGGCTACAAAAACTGTTATTCAGCTACATATATAGAACGAAAGTTGGAATAATAAGTTGATTAAAGATATAAATAGTTTTTACCTCTGTGCTTCTCGGTTGTTGTCTTCGAATTTATCGAACGATCTGAATCGAAGTGTAACGATGGTCCGTTCTCTCTTCTTGTTCTCTTGGAATAAATAGGCGTAAATGTACAAATAGGCACTGGTATCGTTTAGATCGAGGTCTCCCGAGGTGTCTTCGACGACTTCTAAGCTGTTCGATCGGCTGATCGATTGGCAGACGCACCGTTTGGATTGTTTCTTGCTCCGCAGACATCTGCAGCCTACTATGTCCCTGATCGGGATCACTTGTTCCTTGAGGTTTTGGTCGGTTTCTTTGATCAAATGCAAGCCGCGCCTGGTCAGGCGGACTTTGAATATGCAGTTTTTCTTCGTTAGAACGTAGAAGGTTTCTTCCAGGAGGATTTGATTCAAATTTTGATTGTGTTCGTCCCTTTGGATGTCCATGATGTTTTGATTATCGCGTCGTTTGCGTAGCACTCTCGATTTTGATTTTTGGTGTTACTTTTATCTGATCATTATCGCAGGTAATTTGAATGAGTTGATATCATTGAACTAAAAACGAGTGAAACTGAAAACGTATAATGTTAAATGTGAAATTAAAACGACCACTGACCTTCGACTGGACGATACAATTAAATGTTTTTGTTATTGTTTGTTGGATGTTTCCCATGTAATAAATGTTTAAGTGTGTATTAAGAAGTTCGCTTTGTATTAAACTTGCAATTTTAATGACCACAGAATTCACAACAACGGGAGAGTGGTGCAATGCAAACCGCTCAAGATTGAAGAGTGGGACAAGATTTAAGAAATAATTTCAACCATAAACTAAACCACAAATTACTTACTCCAGAATAATTTACTACTTACTAAGAAGTCATTTAGAAACAATTAAATAATAATTAAAATGTAATAATAGTATCGATGGTTTCCTGTGTGTTATGTAATGTGTGTTGCATATATTGAAGTAGCCTCATTTTAACCGTGCGAAGTTAGCTACGTTTACTTGACATCTTTGACGTTTGTCAATGTCATTATTGAAGTAGTCACTGTCATCTTTGTTTATGAATAAATTTTTGTTATTATTAATTTTCCAAATCGCTATTAATATTGTTATTTGTACAAGTTTAACGAATTTTCTGGCATTCCGGCTCGTGGTAACTTCGTGTGGTAAAATTATACAGTTAAATAAATCCAGAGTGTTTCTATACGAACGCAAAACTTACGAAAGTGGGACATGCATTGTTATTTAATATGGAAAAGAGCTGCAGGGCGACTTAAAAATCTATCTTAATTAACATGAAAGAAAGGAAATATTTCGTGTGATTCGATAAAACACTAGCGAATACTTCAAAATGTGCGACAACTTCAACGACTATTTCCTCGAAGCCAATAAATTCGCTGTAGTGTATTTCGACACCAACGACATTAACAGAAATCTCAATCACGAAAAATCAGGGAACGTTTTCCTAGAACTAGAATCCAAGTACAAGCTAGAAGATCGAAGAGCTAGCTTTAACGAACCATCAGGTAAACAAACATATAAACCTAAGGTTATAGTTTGTACTATTTAAATTGTATTTTAGCCAACAACCATTACAACGACTTTTACACGATCGACAGAAATCCCAGCATAAGAAAACCCACTCCAAGGAAACCGACAACAAACGTATCGGCGAAATCGAGGAAACAATACGACACATCGAGACCCTACCAATGCTCCTACTGCCCCAAAAGATTCACCCAAAAAGGCAACATGCACACTCACGAGCGCCTCCACACCGGCCACTACCCCTTCGAATGCCACGTGTGCTCCCAAAAGTTCCCCCAATTGAGCAACCTCAACCGGCACATGCTCAACCACACCACGGAGTTCTTCCGGTGCGGCGTTTGCTTTAAGCAACTCAAGTCGAAGACCGAGCTGGTCAAGCACAGCGACACCCACAAGCCCGAGAAGATCTACTCGTGCTCGGCCTGCTCCAAGAAGTTCAGCTACGAGTGGAGCCTGAAGGCGCACGAGAAGGTCCACAGGGAGAGGCCGCGCGAGCCCCCCGCCGGCCCCGCCGAGGCCTCGGCCTACTTCAAATGCGGCTCCTGCCGCGAGAAGTTCTACAGCAAGGGGGATTTGAAGGAGCACGAACGGCTGCACGTGAAAAGTGTGCCCGAGTGCGCGGGTTGCAAGAAGAACTTCAGGCACGTGGGCCATCTGGCTAGGCATTTGAAATTATGCTGTAAACATTCGTAAAATACTATTATTTTATTGTCGTTAATTTAGAAGTGATACAATTGTATATTTAGTTTTACTGGTTAATTTATTTTTTTTTATATCGCAATAAGCCAAACTCTTGTACCTCATGAATAAAATTTTTATGATAAATATACCGATTGCTTCAATTTAGAAAGAAAATGACAGTTGTCAGAGTGAAAAGTTGCAATGAAACAAAATGTCACTCTCTTTTTGACAGTTCGAACTGTCAAAAATTATTTATGACATTTCGAGGAGAAATATCAAGAATAGTATCTCCGAAGAAATGTGAGGCGTGATGTTAACAACGCTGATTTAAGTATATTTTAATATTTAATATTTTAATTTTAATATTTTGTTTTATCCGTAACATATACAACACGTAGTAAGAGTTTTAGTTGCTAAGTACTTGAGTGTAAAACGAAGTCGGTGTTTCGATAGGATGCCTTTCGTTTCTGGTTTTGAAAATCGGCTTATCAGAAAATTTAACGTATTTCGATGGGTTGTAATGCTCGAAAATAATAACCTGGTTCCAGCCTGTTTTCAACAAGGGAGCCGGTAGGTACAAAGTCTGTTGCGGTCCTATTCTCGAGTACCGTCCCAGCACGAAATCGTTCACGATAACGATACCTTTGCACCAATCGCTCATGTCCACGTACGTATCCATAGTGTTATTGACGAAGAATCGGGTTTTGTACAAACCAGCTCCCGTCGGCAGGGTTTCCCCGGTTTCGCGCCACCCGCTCAAATTCCCCGTCCACGATCGCTTGAACTCCAACGGGTAGATTTCCCAATCACGGATCAGCTCGTTGTTCAAGTACACCCCGTCCTGCCACAGTCCTTTGAACTGCGCGAATTGCTTCACGTTGCCGAAGTTGACCCTGCCCCAATTTTCCACCAGCAAGTCCAGCACAGCTCCCGGGCGATTCTCGGGCCCCAACGACAGATCTCCGTTTTTGACATTCCAGAAACCGAAACCGTTCAAATCGTCGACGTTGTTCAACGGTTTGGACATTAGTTTACCGTTTAAAAGTACCACGACGGTGTCGCACACTCTTCCTCCGATTCTCAACACCGAATTTGCTGGTATAGTCGAGAATCGTTTCCTGTACACCACGTACCCGTAGCTCTGCCCTGTGTTGTTGTTTATCGGCAACAGCTCCATTGGTACCACGCTTTTGTTCAATACAGGCTGTTGGTTAGCTAAAACTTCTTGCAGGATTAATTGGTGAGTAATAGGAGATGCATCGTAGGCGATCGAAGGTGTTTCACTAGGAGTTTGTGGTAATCTAGAAGAGTTTACTGTAGTGTGAGGTAGAGAATTATTGTGGTAATTACAAACCTGGTTGGTATATTGTTGTACTTCTTCAGCAACTCCTTCACCATAACGTATTTGATCGTGTAATCGCCGTTTTCGGATAAAGGAGCGTCGTAATCGTAGCTGGTGGTGTCCGGTTGATAGCCCGAATTGTCCACTAACCCGTTCTTAAGATTCGCGCCTGCAAAAAAGACGCATACAATTCGCGCAAAAGAATGTAAATCGGGGCTAGTACCGTTCATGAATCCGAAATTGGTGCCGCCGTGGAACATGTACATGTTCACCGAAGCCGGATATTTCAGTATCCTCTCGGTGATCCTCTTGAAATCGTCGTCGTTCCGCAAATGGTGCACCTCCGACCAGTGATCGAACCATCCGGTCCAAAACTCCATGGCCATCACCGGCCTGTTGGGCTGGAGTTCCCGCAGGACGTCGAATTCTCGTTCCGGATTACCGGCGAAGTTCGACGTCTGCAGGAAGACTCCTAACGAAGAACATTTTAGTAGTAAAGCAAGCGAATGTAGATATAATTACCCGGTAGAGTCCCTCGATCTCTATGCGATGATGTACCATCAGAAGTCACCAATAACTCCACTATGTTATTAGATGTATACAAGTCGCGCAGTTCCCTGAGGTAGGCTCTATCCGGCGTGAATTTCCCCTTCTGTTCGGTGCTGCCGTACTCGTTCTCCACTTGGAAGGCCACCACGGGACCGCCTTTGGTGAATTGCAGCAGCGCCAGTATCGGCAGCAGCACGTTGAAGTACCTGGCGAGCAAAATCTACTGCATTACACTCCGCGCGGCGTGCCGAGCACAAACCTTCGGACGTGCTTCATGTAGGACTCGTCGGACGTGCGGATTTTAAGGTCGTTCTCTCGCAACAACCAGCTGGGGAAGCCCCCGAACTCCCATTCGGTGCAAATGTAAGGGCCCGGCCTGACGATGGCGAAGAGATCCTCCTCTTTGACGGTGCGCAGGAACTCTCTCAGATCGAGGAACTCCTGCATGTCGGAGCCGCCGTCGCCGAAGTCGTACCTGCGAGAACTTGCTGTTATATAGTACGTGGGGGATGTTTGGGGGTTTTTTTACCATCCGGGTTGGGGTTCGTGCAGGTTCCAGGGTATGTAGGTCTCGATGGCGTTTAGACCTGCGGCGCGAAGTTTCCTCAATCTGTCCCTCCAGTAGGCCTTCGGTACTCGGAAGTAGTGCAGGGATCCGCTGTATAAGGTCACGTTTCTGTCGTTTAGGGTAAAGTAGGGTTTATCGGCGTTCAAACCGGAGTGGATTCCACCCGCTGTAATCAACAGAAATGTAACAGTAACTGAACGCAACGCCCATCTCTAACTCCTGGTAACAATTTTTAGATGGGAATAATTGCATTGTAGTAGAGGTGGGTGTTTCTGGATGCAACGTTATTGTTATTTATAATGAATAAAATTTTAATCTATTAACTATAATGAAGTAATAATTAAGTATAATGGAGGTATTAAAGGTTACTTGACTTGCCTGTGTAGTGTTGGTAGAGCGTCGGTAAGACGTCCGTCGTTAAGGACATGTTTCTTTCGAATGGATATTCGAGTAAAACAATGACTTCGTTTAACAATTGTCCGTTGAGGTCGGTTTCATCTGCGGCAGAAATATTTCTACGGTTTATTTATTTATCGGTATAATAGCCCAGTCGTTGGAGCCACTAAAGGTCAATCGTATTTAGACAAAGTTTGCATCAATTTTATCAGAACAATATTATTTCGGTTTCTAATCGCTCGTCGAACGAGGTTGTTTCATCATTGTTGTTTTTAATTTGTTTGTTAATTAGTGGTTTTTTTTGTTGATTATATTTAGAACTAGTAAATTTATTAAAAATGTTTAATTAGTATTTTTTGCTGCATATTTTATTATTGCCTACACGTTGACCAATATTCATTGCTATTTATTTCGATAATAATGTTTTTTCTAGTCAATATGATTGCTGATAGGGTCCAGTTATTTTGTTTTGAAATTAAATTATCGATAGAAATAAAACTAATGTATTCACCAATTTAATAAATAAATATATAAATATTTTAATTAAATGCTACAAAACCCCCTTTATTTAAATTAAGTTTAAATATTTAAGCAAAAAAATGCAGAAACCCGTAAATAGCTCATGCAACTCCTCAATTCCCAGCAAATTTCGACTTTATATAATAACATTATAAACAAATAATCGTGTATACAAAAGATATAATCGCCTACGAGCGAACGATAAGGGATCATTGCAAAGCAATCATAGGAAACTGGTGAAACGGTTTCATCCGCATCGTCTTATTCACTATTCAAACCGAAACCGATCCGAAATGACTAAAATTTCCGTAATTTTCGCGATATTTCTAACCATCCAACAAGTCGTTTCCCAATTACGGCTTATCAGGACCGAAGATAAGACCAAATGCCCCAAAGTGCGAGCCATAAGGAACTTCGATTTGCAACAGGTATTCTAAATTATTTAACATTTTTATAGATTCAAATCGAATCGTTTTATTTGCACTGCGCGAGCTCGACCCTATAAAGCGTTTTGATTACAATTTGTCGTTTGTGTGACTTTCCCAGCAATTTTTTGTCTTTTTCTGGAGCGTTTTAAATGATTCTAGACAGTTCTGGTGCATTCTAAATGATTCTAGAGCGGTTTAAATGGTTCTACATGATTCTGGCGCGTTCTAAATGGTACTGGAGCATTCTAAATGATTCTAAACAGTTCTACACAATTCTCCCAGCAATTTTTGTCTTTGTCCTGTTTTTTCTTCAAGTTTACGAATAGTTTTTGTACTAATAGTTCCCTTATTGTCCAACCTAAACGAACCGTTATACTCTTTTAAAAAATTCCTCTTAAAACACAGCAAACATTTACTTAATTTTAAGAATGTATAAACGACTGGTTTGCTTAGTTAATTGAATTGTACACAGCTGTTGGGCGAATGGTACGTGATCGAGTACTACGCCAGCTCCGAGGAGGCCTTGTCCTACAGATGCATGCGGGCCGAGTTCACGATGGCCTCCTTCGAGAACGTCAACATGAACTTCACCTACAGCTTCGTGGACGATCCCCTCAACGAGCTGCTGATGGGCAACATCTCCTGGGTGATGCCCAACGCGGGCGAGCCGGCCCATTGGGTGCATTCTGAAGATACCTGTAAGTTTGCTAGAGATATGGGTGTTTAAAAGTTTGTAGGTTTTAAAATGGCAATGACGTTGTTTTTAGTAATTTTCGCGCAGTTCAAAATGTCCCTAGTACTAATGGTAGCGATTTTTGTCTTTATCTCGAGCGTTTTAAATGATTTTGGAGAGTTCCAAGTGATTTTGGAGCGTTCTAAATGAGATTGGACAGTTCCAAATGAATCTGGAGGGTTTTAAATTATTCTATATAGTTCTAAAAGGTTCTAGACAGTTTTAGATAATTCTGGACATTTCCAAATGATTCTGGAGCGTTCTAAATGAGCATGGACAGTTCCAAATGAATCTGGAGGGTTCTAAATGATTCTAGATTCTACTCTTTGTCACTTTTTTTACACAACGTTGCAACAGGCTAGTTTGTGACGTCATTGTCATTTAAAAACGTTCGAACTTTAGTAAATAAATAAATTTTTTGGTGGTGTTAGACGAAGGGGTTTACAATACATACGTCTTGGATTCGGATTATACGTCCTGGGCTCTGTTGTTGCACTGCGCGGAGAAGTCCAAAGTACCGAGGTACTTGTCGAGTTTCATAATGAGCAGGGAGCCGGCGTTGGGGAAGAACGTGATCTCTTACTTGAGAGATAAGCTGCCCAGGTACGATATCGATTTGTCTTACATGTTCGATATGCAACAGGCTAATTGTAATTCCACCGACGCGGATTTACCGCCTTCGGTGTTGATTAACCGACCGGCGGTTGCTGGTAGGAGACATCCTATGAAACATGTACACTAGGAATTTTGCAGTACTAACGCCAGTATTCGCCAATTTCGGTTTAACAAGCTGATAACTGTCGGTTTCATAACATTTAACAGTCGGTTAACAATGTTTGTTATTCACCGCGTTATTTGAAGTGAATAGTAAACAGACAGTTTTCTTAAAAATTACCAAGATTGAATTGGTATTATGATAGTTCCTAACTTCATAATTTCGACATTTGTATTGAAGTTATCAATCAGTTACTTCTATTATCAGTTCGATTTTGCTCTATTACTTTTATCTGACTGTTAAGTATTAACTGACATTAATGAATGCCAAAATATGGCGTTAACAGACTGATAAGAACTTATCTCTCTGTTAGCGATTTAACAGGCATTGGGTGAATATGGCTAATTTTTGGGGCATTTAGTCAGAGTACTACAATTTAAAAAAATACAATTTTATTGTCCACGTTACTGTATATAAAAATAAACGTTACGAATTCTCTAATAAAAAAATAAAATATAAAATTCTCGAACATTAAATTTACTGCGTTCATTTCCAAGGCGGTTTGAGTCCTTTGCGGTCCTTTTGTTGTCCTTTCCCCGTCCTGGATCCGTCTTCTTTGTCCTGTACATAAATACTCTTTAATAAAAATAAATCTATATTTCGAAAATATCATTGGCGTACCCTATTCAAGTCTTCGAGGTACTGATTCTCCATTTCCTGCACCAAATCATCCTGCAATCCGGCATTTCCTGGCGCTTTATTCAAAAACTGAAGGAAAAAATTAACTTTCAAAGTATTGACAACAAGTTTAATATAAATCATTAACTTATATCTAAACAGCTCATTCATTTTTTCATTCAGTTATTAAACTAATTAAACTCATAACGATTTATAAAACTCCAAAGCCATCGAAGTTAGTCGATTTATTGTGCTCAACACCATTTTAATGCCCTGAAGGAAGAAATGTAGGCAATTACAATTAATTAAAAGCGATTAAAAACGGTTTCGAAACGATCTAAATAAAATCAATTTATACAGGGCGAGTCGACATACAAACGCTTTAAATAAAATTAATCAATTACCATATTGATGTATTTTTGTATCTCCGCTTCGCCTATGCCGGGTTTCGTTAAAGGAACCATTTTACTGGATACCGGGGTATCCAAAGGTTCCTCCTGTTTCCATATATCTCTTCCTTTACTACAACCTACGTCGTGTTCGATACCATCGTGTTGGCTGAGCACCTCTTCCAAATTACTGTACGATTTCGTCTTTAAATTGTTCAATTGGTCTGTAAAATGCAAGTTTTTCGATTAATTTGAACAAACATTCGTGAAAAAAAACCAATACAGTTTGATGCATTGTAGTTTGCAATGTAGGTTATATGAGTGCAACAAAGACAACTTCCATTAGACACATAAAGGAGAAAGAAAGAGTGATTTTGTTTCATTATAACTTTCTCACTTAAACTGTTATTTTAATAATATAATTTTTCCTTGTTCAACACAGACAAGAGTAGGGTGAAAAGTTCTCGGGCTACTGAGGGCGCTACAATTAGCTAAAATTTTAGATTCCTCTTCAGGACATTTATAATTGATTCTAGAACTGTCTAGAATCAATCTCTAACATCTCTAACACTCCAGAATCATTTAGAACTGCTCAGAATCTTTCAGAATTGTCTGGAAGAATTTAGAACGCCCCAGAATCATTTAGAACCGTCATAAACTAAACATTTCGACTTAATAAGTAAAATAATGTAATTTTTCAACTAAAAATCGCGCTCTTTCATTGTCCAGTCCGAGAACTTTCCACCTTACCCTTGTAGAAATGGCTATACTGCACCTAGATAAATACCTATAGTACTGAAAGGAGATTCTTCGTGCAAAGATGGACTCTTTCCATTGGCGATTATCTTCATCGCCTCGCTCCATTGGGACTCCATAACTTTTTGCAATTGCTTGGCTACCGACACGCGTTTCTCCTGGAAATGCAGCAATCTGTTTTGTATGCTCTCCGCCTGTTGTTTGTACTTCATCACTTCGATTCGATACAATTTTATCTCTTCTCGGTGTTTCCTTTCGAGCAATTTGATTTCGAGCGACGACCTGCGAAAGTTATATTAATTCGTAAAATGTACGAATTCATTTTATTTGTGTAATTACTTTTCCGACAGGCGTTGCAAATGCTCGGCGGCCGATTTGGCGACGGCCATTTCCCTCTTTTTGATCTCCTCCTTGAAATTGTCCTCGGTCCGGTCCAATTGGCATTGGAACTCCTTCAATTTCCCCTGCACCAGAATTTCCACTTGGCCTTGGTAAAAGTTCCTTAAATCTACTTTATTGCTTTGTAATTGCCTCGTCAGCGCGGCGATTTCCTCTTGCAGTTCGACCTGGAAAAAACCGATCGGTTGGAGAGTCAATCGAGAAGGATTGTTGGCAACAAAAACGATTCTAAGCTCTATTAAAGCGCGGAATAGTTCGGAACGGTTCCGGTACTTCCGTCGGAACGAACCTATGATCGATATCCGAGTATAGCTCGCTTACTTCGCGTTTTTTTCTACTCTCCAATTCGTCGAGCAAATCCATGATTTCTTTGTTGAGTTTGACCGTTTGGTTTCGTTCCTCTTTGAGCTTCTCGTCGATTTTGTGGTAATCTTCTTTCATTCTGGCGAATTCCCTCTCGCAATTCTCTATCGTCTTCCTGCTTTGGTTTATTTCGGCCGATGCGTTCGAGAGGGTCAATTTGTTCTGTAAACGAATTATTATTTTTAACTGATGTTAAGCTATTAAAGGTATTAAAGCTTACTTCGTTGATTTCCACTTCTTTCTTCGTCAAAATATCGGCGATTTGTTTGTTTTTATCGCATTCTTTGGCGTAATTTTGCTCGAGCGATTCCAATTTCTTCTTCAACGAGTGATTTTCGGCTTCCAAATCGCAACATTTTCGTTCCAACGCCACGGATTTTTCCTGATTGGCGTGCGCCAAATTCAAGGCCTTCGAAGCTTCGCTTTCATAATGGTGGATTCTCTGAATTTATAAATCATTAATATACACGAGTCACGTTATATTAAAAATACAAATAGAGTTTGGAAAATATGCACTAATAACGGCAAAATATGCATGAAAATATGCATTTAGAACTGTTTTAGGACTGTTTAGAACCATTTAGAACTGTCTAGAACCAATTAAGAATACTCCAGAACAGTTCAGAACCCTATATTTAAGACTAGAAAGAATATACATTATGCACTCTGCACATTTTCCTCGCTCTAATAATTATATAAATATATTTTACTTGATTCGTTTCCTCTTTTTCGTCCATCAGCCTCTTTTTGAGCTTCTCGACGTCGAATTCCCTGTCGATTTTCTCCCTGTTCAATTTCTCGAACCTGTTCAGCAACTTCTCGACAGTGTCTTGGAGCTGTTGGATGGTCTTGTTCTTGCTGTCGTCGACTTTAACGGCCACGGAGACTTTCTGTTGCATCTCCAGGTTCCTCGTTTGCAATTCCTGGATGATGTTTTCGCAATGCTACCAACCGATACACGCAAATTAATCGTTAAAAACACTTTACTTTTTAAATAGAGCGTATACCTTTTACATTTTTTTATTCCTCTTACCTGCCGCCTGCATTTCTCCTCCTGCAACTTCTGCATCAGCTCGGGCACGTTCAAATTTGCGCGCCCCTTGTTGCCCCAGATATCGGCAAGATTCATCAAACCCAGCTCTTCGCCGACGGAGCTCCGGGACTTCTTCTTGTACGGGGTCCTCTTCACGCTGGACTCCTCCATCAGTTTCTTGTGCATGTCGATGGCTTTGAGCGCGTTGAAGTGAATGGGGTCCTGCGAATCGGTCCGGTTCGACTTCGATTTGGCGTAGGCCGTGGTCAGAGTGGAGTCGGTGCTGGAGTCGGAGAAACTGCGATGCCTGTCGGGGGGCGACAGCGAATCGAAATTGTCCGATTTTAGTTTATCGTTGTCGTAGAGGGCGTCCCTCATGCCCATTCCGTAATCCGGAACGCTGTCCTTGTTGTCCCCGCATTGCCAGGTGGTTTTTAAGGCGTACGGTTCTTCTTTGGGTTTGGTGGTTTTGTAGTTATCGAAATCGTTTTCTAGATTTCGTACGGTCGATAACCGTTGGATGCTTTTAACTTTGGATAGGAACGTATCGACTTCGTTAATCGGCTGGTCTCTTGCGTGCTTCGAATTCAGTGCGCTGTCATCGGTGAATTTCGAATTGAAATTCTTTCGTTCGTAATTGAATCGGTCGATGTTTGGGCTGTTCGGTAAGGAACTCAACCGGAATTTGGAAGATGGTTTTTGGGGGGTATTTTGAGCGCTGAAACTACCGCGCGTTGGCAAGTCGTCTGTGCTGTTAAATCTGCGAAAGTCTTGCTTGGTGTCCATGTTTAGCGCGAAATCCGACGCCTTGGAGGTTTCGATGGATTTCAAACGGGTCTGTAGACTGTCCACTTGCTTGATGAGCTTGTCTACGATGTTGTAGTATTGCGGCACCGAGTCCGGGTGATTCGAATCGGATTCGATCGAAAAGAAATCGGGAGGAATCAACAACAACTCGTCGGTATCGTCTGTATCAGTCATAACTAACCGCTGGCGATTTTCCTTCGGACGAACAGAAACGTTGCTTCGAGACCATCACCTGCGAGGAAGGGCATCGATGGTGTTGTAATGGGTACGAAAGGGGTTATCGATTTAATTTTTTACTTACGAATTAATATAACTTTAATGATAAAACTTCAAAATCAAAAATTTGTATACATACAATCAAAACAAACAAGCGTCGCCAACTGAAAACGTTTCCTTGTCAAAACTGCCAAACTTCAGAACTGCCAACGTAAATAATTTTTTTGACAATTGACAAGCCTCTTTCAAATACTGTTTTCAGCCAGATTGGCTGTGGGGGGTTTATTTGAATCCCATTTTTTACAGATTTTTGTTCAAAATTTAAAACAGGATAATTTGGGAAGATTATATTCACATTAAATATAAAAACAAAATTAAAAACAAATTTTTACATGATTTTCATCATCTTTTATTCAATGATTGCGATAATTTAGTTTCAAAATAGTCTCCATCGCCTTTCGTCGCATTTCTATTTATCTCTTTGTGCCTTTCTCTGCTGACGATCTCCTCTAGAACCTCACCGTCTCCTTTAATTAACCTGTAAACTTTTATATTTTACTCTAAAATGCGGAGGAATGGGTTAAATTATCCGACCTGTGTCTACCGGTAGACTCATCGTATACTCTTCTAATTACAGACTGCTTTTTCTCCCATTCTTCTTTAGTCATCGGGGCCAATGACTTACTTTTGCTATCCATTAGAGCTAACGGAATGTCCATGCTAGGCTCGTCATTAGGCTCGATTTTGCCGGGTTTGCTCTTGGATTTTTTCGGCGCCTCTTCGCTGCGCGAGCTCGAAGATGGAGAGCATCGTCTATGCTTCTTTTTCTTTTTAACCTGAAGAAATCGATGTTTATTGTACGAAAATTTTACGATTGTTGATCTTACATGTCTCTTTTTATGAAGGATTTCTTCTGGAGATTCGCTGGAACTGCTACTTGACGTCGAATTACGTTTCTTTCGATGTTTCTTTATTTTCGACTTGCTCTTCGAAGCCCTGTAATCGGAGCTCGAGCTAGATGAGCTAGATGTGGAGCTGCTCGAGCATGTCGAAGAGCTCGAAGATGCACTAATTGAACGTTTTTTACGTTTGATATTCGATTTTTTCTTTCTACTTCTACCATCATCAAGTTTTCGCTTTAGTTTGTTTGTACTCTTATGAGTTTCCTCATCTCGTTTCTTCAGTTTGTGTTTCATTTATTTTCAATGCCGGCTACAAAGAATGAAATAAATAAGCTTAATTTAATCTGAATTAATATGTAATAATTGCAATTAATAAGTAAATAAATTCGTTTTGGATTAAATAAACATAAATAAAAACATAACCTTACATTTTTTGCCCAAAATCAAAGCTGTCAATGTCAAATCGATGAATGACAGTTGACATTAACAGTTCTAAAAAAGAAGAAAAGTATAACCTTATTTTGCTCTAATTACAAATTTATTTATCAAAAGCATTTAAATCGTGGTTGTTTCTAAAACCATGTCCGAACCGTTCATTCCAAACCAGGATTTCCTCCACCAGTTAATCTCCATGGGCATAAACCACGATATAGCCACGCAGGTAACGTTTCGAAAAAATGCACTGGACCACTTCAATACAATATTACGATTTTAGGCGCTGTTTTGTACGGGAAACAAGTCTTTGGACGAAGCCGTTGAGTATATATTTAGTTCGCAGGAGAGTGTATCCGACGAAGCTCAAACGCTGAGCAATTTAGAGACAAAGTTCGGTAAATTGGAGTCAGGCGAAGAGGAGGAAGATGTAGGATATTTCAAAATGACGTTCGTAGTGAATTCCTCGCTAAAAATGGGCGTGGGTAAAATAGCGGCGCAAGTACGAGGATATCTTCCTTAATATACATCATTTAATGCCTAAAATTAGTAATTTTGTAGGTAGGCCATGCTTGTTTGGGCCTCTTTCGAGAGTTGATGACAATTCGACAAGAAGAATTGGACATTTGGGAACAATTCGGGTGAGTAATCTACAACTTCTAATCGCTTCACGATTGATTATTGGTTTTATTTTTAGAGAAAAAAAGATCGTTCTGAAAGGCACAGACGAGGCGCATTTAACCGAGCTGTACGAAAGAGCCAAAGAAAAAGCCATTCCATGTTATTTAGTGCGAGATGCGGGACACACGCAAATCCCAGCCGGATCCGTCACCGTTTTAAGTGTATTCGGATTAGAAGAAGAAGTTAATACCATTACGGGAAAACTCAGTCTAATGTGATACGTGAAATCAACGAATCATCCACTAAATAGAATTCCATTTTTCAAATTCGTTCCCTTCGTTGGTACAGCTTGAAATATTATATATTTATGCTAATTTAGCCTACGCCTACGTTCGTTTCGACTATTTAAGATTAATTTATACGAATTTTTTGTATTAAATGTCTGCTAATATGTGTTATTATAATGCATTAGATTAAAGCGTAATATGTTCCTGCACTTTTCTTTAATTGATGTGAGAGTTTGTATAATTGTAACAAATTAGAGGAAGGTTAAATTGATTGTGGTGATTAAACCTGTCATTATAATTTATATTTAACTAGGGAAGATTAATTAATTTATAAATTTAACCTATTAAAGTGACATCTAGCAGGCCGCTATGATTTATTGCGTCATAAATGTCACATGTCAATGGACGTTTGGTAAAATTTAAAGTGCTTTTTCAAATAATTTGATTTGCTGCGAATTGTGAAATCAAAAGGTGATAAAAGGCGATTTATCGTAGTTTTAAATTAACAACAAATAAAATTAAGTCGTTTAGTTATGTTATTTGACATTTCTAGCTTAGCGAAGAAGTATTAACATACCGGCCTACTAGATTGCAATGTAGACAAGTAAAATTTAAATGGCGACAGTGCGTAGCTGTAGTGATTTAACGAAGCGCAAAATAACGAAATAAATTAAGGTAAGTCGTCGGGAATTTCAATTATCCGCGCCGAAATCGGCGATAGCGCAGCGCATGAGCGATAACAACGAGGGCCCGGCGCACCGTGTCCGCCACTTGTCAGTTCATCAGTTCCCATTGGATTCCATGTTAAACACGAACGCGCTCCGGTCGTGCGAATTTCCCCGTAGAATCGGCGTTGGCGCGCCGTCGACACCGACGTACCGCCTTCACCTCGTGCACGCGCCCCTTCCGCGGGGCCCCGTTCGCCGAAAGGGCCGCGTCGCCGTCGAATGTTTACCTCCTAGGTGCGGCCATTTTAAAATCCGGTCGCTGGTCGAGAGCGGCCCCGGTGCGGTAGGCAACACGAAACACGCGCGCCCGAACTGGCTTGCATAAAATCCCGGTGCACTATCTCGGGACGATTGTTTAGCCTCACCCACTTTGCACGGCTCTCTGGCGACCTGCGGTGCGTTTTCCGATTCCAAATGACGGGCGATAGTGCGGGCGATTCGTTTGGAAATCCGTGCAGTTAACCCGCCAGCGCGATACATCGCACTAATATTGTATTCGATCGGTCGAGGGTTGGCTAGATTATTTTTTTTTTCGATTTTTCGTCCGCGAATTCCTCTCGGGGGTGTTTGTGGAGTATTATTATTATTGTTATTTCGTTGCGAGCGGGGAAAATGACCGACGAAGAGGTGCTTTTCGACGACGTTTACGATCTGTGCGAGGAAATCGGAAGGTTTGTATAAATCACATGTATTATACAGGGTGATCCACTATTATCTCTTCCCAACACCCGTTCCCATTTTACTAGAAAAATGTATTTTATTTTATTACAGTATTATCTTTATCTCGTTAAGTTTTATTTACTTTCCCATATACAGGGTGTGTCAGAACATATGTACATTCATTTTATTGGACAATTATGTTTTGAGCCTCTAACGATCCCATTATAAATTAAACAGAGGTGCGCCACTGGAACGTATCGTCAGAAAGAAGATAAATAATTTGATACATTATTTATCTCCATGGAATAATGAATCGCAAATAACTAATTACATAAATATAAAACTTTTGATACATATTATAACATGTTTATTTTGCTACACGTTTATTTTGAATGGGAATTTTTCTACCTATAGTCCTCCAAAAATCGATTAAATTTAGTATAGTAGTACCAGAAATAAATGATAGGACTTTATAATGCATAAAGGGCGCCTCTTGAAAATTCGGAAATAGTCTTCAGATTACGGTAGATCTGAAGCAGATCCGTACTTACATATTTTCACTTAAACATAATTGAAAATTGCATATAAATTAACCCATTGATGAATTTTTTTTTTCCAGGGGGCCGTTCAGCATCGTCAGAAGATGCATCCACCGCCAAACCGGCCAACAATTCGCCGCCAAAGTGGTCGACGTAGCCAAATTCACGTCCAGTCCCGGCCTGAGCACGAACGGTACTACCGCAAAATCCCTTTAACCACCCCCGTCCGGTATAATTAGACGCTCCCCTTCGCGATAACAATTCGATTGTACCAAATTGAATCTACCTCCTTAAGTCGCTCGAAATGGGAAAACTTCGCCCAGAGATTATTCGACTCGACTACACCCGGGCGAAAGTTCCAGCAAAAACGAACCGATTTATAATTCGAACGAGTAATTTAAATCCGACAAAGCCGGTACCTACACTTACGTGTCACGACGATGATGTAATAATTAAAGCGAGGGACGGGCGGGATTTTCGGGGGCGGGTTCTCGTACGGGATTCCCGTCGTGACGGCGTCACGACGGCCCCGAGATTCCCCGGAGTGCGGAATCGTCGCCGCGACGTATACGCGAACTTATTGAAAATTTAATGGAATCGTTGTTGCTACCGACGGATCTTATACATATGTAATGGACGTACCGCAGAAGGCATTCTACGGCATCCTTGTATATCGCGAATCGTAAATATTCTTTGACCGTCGAAAGAGTTTTCTACCGTGAAAAGCGGTCGAAAGCGTTTAAAATGGATTTTGTTTCGGATTAAATTCGCCGTATTGTTTTGGGTTTGTTGGTCTGAAGATAAGTGTATGTTTTATTTACAGATTTAAAAAGGGAAGCCACAATATGCCACATGCTCAAGCATCCGCATATAGTCGAGCTGTTGGAAACGTATTCTTCGGAAGGGATGCTTTATATGGTTTTCGAATTGTAAGTATCTATCTATCAATCGACTTTATTATACTGGGTGTTGCTAAATATCGTACACATCCGAAAGACGGTAATTCTTTGGCTCATTTCATGACTAAAAGTTCATATAAACATAGGTCCGAAAACGCCTCGTTACCGATCTACAGGGTGTTGAAATTTCAAGATTCTTATTGTTTTTTCTTTGTAGCTCCTGCCTTTTTTGATATTTATTTAATATTTTTTGATATTGTATACAATGAGAACCATGAGCTAAAAGTCGTACCAATAAGGACCTATAAAATTTAATAAAGATTAGGGAATTTTGCGTTTTATTCCAAATTTATTCCGCTAACTTTTTTGCCACAGCAGTATTTGTATCCAATATGGACGAAATTACTGGAGTATTGTTTCAACATTTCATACTACAATAGAAAATATGAGTTTCCATATTAGAAAACATGTCTATTTCAAGTCGTTCCATTTTCTTGTTTTGAGCTACCCGCGGGGAAAACGTCTTCGAGACGGACGTGAAATTCACGATGTAGAATATTCCTTACCGAGTTTCCAATTATTTTTTTGGGATTCGCACGCGCTTAGGGGCTGTTTTTGCCCGTTATATATTTTTAGACAGCGCCATGAATAGCACAGTACCATCGAAGGCAACGTAAATCCCCCTGTCGACTTATATACGAGCCGAGTTCTTCCATTTATCTCGATCGTAGGAATTCCCCTAGACGAATTCGTAGTCGATAAAAAGGTATAGCGTGTGCGTAATTCAGAGGGAACGGCAAAAATTACCGGAGCGAATATTCATTTCGACTGACGTTCCGTTCGAATTCTGAGCAAATATTTCTCTTTCAGCATGGACGGCTCCGATTTGTGCTACGAAATCGTACGTCGGGCCTCGTCCGGGTTCGTCTACAGCGAAGCAGTAGCCAGGTGAGTCACATTTTTTTTACTACTCCATCCCCAACAAGCAATCAAAAGCAATCTATGATTCACAATGTGGGGGTACTACGAGGGTAGGGTGAAAAGTTCTCGGCCTGAATCATTTAGTACTGATGGGCTAGAACAATCTACAACGTTTTAGAACCATTTAGAACGCTCCAGAATAATTTAGAACTGTCTAGAACCATTTAGGACACTATATAATCATTTAGAACTGTCTCGAACTAAAGATTTTGACTTAATAAGAAGAATAATGTAATTTTTCAACTGAAAATCGCGGTTTTTCATTGCCATTCACCTTACCCTTGTCGAATACGCGGAACATAAGCCACCATTTACGCCGAATAAAACCGTATACACACCTCACGAATTTCGGGGCAACGAGAAACGTTTTGGGGGGGTTAAAGAAGCAATTTCGAAAGGTACAAGAAATATTAGACGGTTATTATGCGGAGCATTTCGCCGTGCCTTTATATACGAGGGTTTGTTTTCGGTTAATTTGCAGCCATTACATGCGTCAAATATTGGAGGCGTTGAGGTATTGCCACGAGAACGATATCGTGCACAGGGACATCAAGCCGGAGAGCATCCTGCTGGCGACGAAGGAAAACTCGGCGCCCGTGAAATTGGGCGGGTTCGGCGTGGCCGTGCAATTACCGGATCAACATCCCATCAGCATGGGAGGTGAGTTATCGTAGATTGCCCTATTGTATTTTTTTTTTCAGTAGTTTTCGATGTTTAGCTTATAGAGAAATTCAATAATTTAATTGATTTCGGTTCGTTTTATATATAGAAGTGACGATGGAATGTTTGAGATTACTGTAGAATTTGTTAAATGTTATCTATTTGAGTCATCCTGTGTAATATTTTACTGTAATGAGAAAAAAAAATAGTATTCCATCGTTTATTTTATATTATAATGGTTTTGAATATACCGAAACCACTAATTTTTTAAATAAAGCGCTCAGGAATCGTTCATGTTATACAATCTGTCCAGAAAATAGATAAAAAATTTCAGACCTCTAGCTCAAAAATGGAACAAAATCTATAAGAAGTTATACCCTTATTCTATACGCTCCCGTATTACTAACATCAATTTTCTGGACACCCTGTATACAAAGTGAAAAAAAAACTCACCCAAACAAATTCGATTAACCAAACCAAAATGGCATTGTTAATTGAACCACCGTGTACTTGTGGCAGCTATAATTTCAGCGGTTACCGTTACTATCGATCCGATAAAGCCTTTTCAGAAGAGAGTCCTCGTTCCGTTGAGCTTTTAAATTGCTCGAAAAAAGCAACAACGGGAAGCTTAAATTCCCTCTTTTGCACCTCCCGCATTGGAGAATTAAAATTTCTACGGGACGATTCTTGTGACGTGTAATGGAAGATTTCGATGAGCCACTTGGAAAATGTTAGTGGTTTCGTAAAATGCTTATACGTGACATTTTTCGCTTTGTTTTTTTTTGACTTGGTATATACGGAAGTATATTTCTATGTATTTGGTGGCCTGCAGAATGCCTCGTGTTTGAATACCGGACCAACCTCAGTCCTTTGGGTCGGCTGTACCTAAAATCTGACAAAGCTGGTAAGATGATACGTTCCTGTACGTTAAGCCGATGTCGGACTGATGTATATATAGTTTTTTTTGTGTATTTATTTCTGTTATTAATATTAATACAGCGCCTTTCTTGATCGGGCGTAGAAATGTCGTGACTAAGGTGGGTTGCCTAACTTTAGGAAGGCGCTGTAGGAAATTTGGTATTGTTTTTTTTTCTGTTAATGCATTCAATCCGGCATTGAGTTGCCTTGCCAGCAAGCTTTTTTTTCAATCGTTTTTCTGCCGTACGGAATTTATAGTATTGATTGTGGTATCGGAAGCTATTCAGATTCTTGCTGGAAAATCGTGCCAAAAATCGCACTGGCTCGAAGCGAATTGCCCCGATGATAGTGTGAATTACGAGCCACTTAGCTTCGCTAATTTTGAATACAATGGCGTCGCGAGAAAGATTGCGTTTTTAGAGCCAATTATGCGACGTTCCTTAATTGGTGGACATGCTAAATTACTGGCGATTCGTCAGAAGGACGGCCAATTTCCCAAACAAACGGTTGTTTGTACGCCATAAGGGCGACAAATTAGTGTCTTATTGAAAGTTCGCCGGGTTTTCCTCGGCATTTGCATTAACGATCGTTCGCTTTAACACGAACGACGCCGCTAAGAAAAGACCTTCGGTAATTAATTAATGTGGAAGGAAATTATTTTTCCTTCTATACAGGGCCATTCACTCAAATTGTGCGAGGACAAACATTTTGTAATTCACCCTATACAATTACTGGTATATTTTTTATTAGATAAGGTTACGAAACGTGTAACGTGCAAGAATATGGAGTTTTATTGCCGATATTTCCCGACCAATACTGTAATATATAAAAAGTCGACGAGCGCAGAAATTCCATTCCGCTCCATTCACGATCATTAATCATTTTCGTAGGAAAAACGTTTTCACGATCATCGCAAAAATCCCATGTGTATGCAGTTCTGCTGTTCACTATATGCGTAGTTTATGCTCGATTCTTCCATTATGCTGCTAGTATATAGGCGCAGTTGATTTTCCTTTATCACGGAAATTTCCCGGAATGCAAATATACAACTTGGCATGACTCTCCTTTTATATGCACCCATGAAAAATGGCTCTTATCATATACTTAAAAACGTACATATACATCACTCACACGATTTAATTACACGTACAAATTAAAATAAAAAGTGCCGTTACAACAACACCGGTGTCGTAGATAAACCGTTGTGTGGTACTATTTCTTATGTGCACCGGCTTTTCACTCGACAATTCGGAACACGTTCTATACACGCCTAATAAAACACGAAAGACCGATAGACGAAAAAAAAATGCGATTTCTTTATAGGCAGGGTGGGCTGCCCGCACTTCATGGCCCCGGAGGTGGTGGAGAGGCGGCACTACGGCAAGCCCGTGGACATTTGGGCGGCGGGCGTGCTGTTGCACGTCTTGTTGTCGGGCTCGTTGCCGTTCCACGGCAGCGGCAGGAGACTGGTCGAGCAAATATGCAGGGGAAAATTGCACGTAAGTAGAGCTCTTTTTATTTCTAATCTGCATTATACACGGCGTCTCATCAACGGTAAATTGCTGGTTGATTATTAGAAGTCATCGTTTTCGATAAGGATGAAATTTCCAGTCGCTTCTTCTCTCGCTCGAGGGCGCGATCATTAAGCATTGTCAAAGCGAAATTATCGCCGCCCGTCGATGAATTTTCCCAAGACGTTTCGAATTTCCAATTTCCAAGTTTTCGACATGATTCTCCGCGTCTACAAAAGTATTCCTTTCTAATTATTACTACGCCACTCCCGACTGGCTTGGAAAATTCCCTCGTAATTTTCCTCTATCGGCGATCGTTAAAAAAAACGTTTCTTTTTCGCACTGAGAATCGCAATTAATTAGCAATTAAACAGTATTAAATTACTTACACCCTATATATTTAACTTCAGCGACGAAAAAAAAACCTTTCATCGAATTATTAGAGAATTATATTGGGGTGACAGGGGTTCGTTCGTTCGGATTATACAAGAGAATTTTCCGTTCTGTCACGCTCTATTACAGGGCGGTTCCCCTGTGAAAAAAAAAACCCTGTACGATTTAATGGTGACTTACGTTACCTTTAAGGATGAATTGTAGGGGCGAGCGGGGCCGAGCGAGGCGTCTCTCGAGAGCCGTAGGCGCTTTTCCGGGGGCGATCTTGAGTTATTACGGAGGTCGAATTGGTCCCGGAGTCGCCGTTACGTCGTTGCGTTTCATCGCCGAAAGTGCACGACGAATTCGAGGATAATTTCTTCGAGTACGTCGTAATGAAACCCTCAGTTTTGTACGGGCGGCGTTTTTCTTGTACTCGCCACGCTCGATTGATCCGAAAATGAGGAATTTCCTCGTGTTTTTCCTTCTCTTTAAATCCATTCCGATGGGGCGCTTTTGTTTCGTAACGCAATCTCGCCGAGGAACGAACAGAGAGCCGGAGAGTTATGTGGGGACGAGGAAAGAGGAGGAAAAATAAACTGACGGTAGGAGCGTATGGAGTCGCCGGCTCTATCACGTAATTCGGCGGTACACGAAATAGAGTCCATCGAGATCGCAATAAACTTTTACGACCGCTCTCGACTCTTGTAATTACGTAAAATGCTAACAGAAGTACGGGAGTTGGCGTTTTTCGGGATGTAATTCGGTCTCTCGCGGCAGTGATTTCTATTTTTTTTTGTGTTTTGCCCAAAAATTACGTATGCTACGTTCACGCGAATCTAACCGTGACGTCACGCGGGAGAATTATTGATTTTAGTATACTGTTAAGTGCAAATTTGTACACAATATGGGTATCATAAAAATATCCGGAGTAATAAGAAAATTAATAACAGGTTTAGGGCATATATATTTCTTCTTAAAATCATCCAAATATTAATCATCCTGAAGTATCAGCACTCAAATAATTAACTCCCTGTATATTGTGGCATTGGAACAATCTTTCTTTGTTCAACTCATAGAATTTGGCATATTGCAAATCCATATATTGTTTTGTTCAGATGGATACGTCTCCTCAATGGCAACTGATAAGTGATAACGCAAAAGACTTAATACAACAAATGTTACGAGTAGATCCCAAGCAAAGGATAACCATTCAGGAAGTTTTGAACCACAGATGGCTGAGGGTGCGTAGATTATAATTAATTTACGGCGCGAACGGGTGAATTGAGTTTGAGTGGTTTTTTTTTGCGTAGGACAGAGATAAGGGATTGCGAATTCACCTCAACGAGACTGTAGAGGAATTGAAAACATACAATAGCCGTAGGAAATTGAAGAGTTTCGTGCTCAGCGCTGTCAATTCTTGTAAATGGTACCCGTACGACGATTCCAATGCGGATTCCTTCTCGGATTTCGGCGACGATGAAGTGTCTTCCTGCGGTAAGTTCGCTAATTAACTCTAATCGACTCTAATTAACCGTTTTTTCGAATCGACAATAGGATTAATTTAGCATTCAGTCATTTCGAACGCGACGTAAATTGACAACAAACCCTCGATTTTTTTGACGCTTTGCTAATTATGATTCATGAGTTTCGAACGCAATTTCGTCGAAATTTAATATCTCGATTGTTTGCATCGGGGAACGTCGATAATGGCGCGTTGTAAAAATTATTTCTGGTTATTTTATGTTCATTATACTTCGTTTATCGTTTTTGTTGGCACTAATCGAATGCGGAAGTGACCTTGTTCACTCATATTTTACGTACCTTATTTGAAAAATTAAAATAATTTCAGAAAAACGAAATTTTTCGTAAAATTTGACGCATATCCAATGTAAAAATGCATACTTTTTGAGTTAATTTTTTTTGAAATATGACCGATGCAGACCCTTATAAATAATTGTTTTACGAGGATCCCCTTAAAAATATGAAAACGGTTTCTGTAGGGGGGCTACTAGTAACGTCAAAGGTATTTGAATCTGCGTTAAAAAACTTTTTTATTTTATACAGGGTGTGTACAAAAAATGTGAAAAGTTGAACCTAAAAAATATCAAATTTCTTCATTTTTTTAAATGGAACTACCCAGTTTTTCTATTTTAATGTGCGGTAAAAAATAAGGGAACTTCATGTTTACTTTAGTTAAAATGAGCTAAATTTTCATAAAACAAAATAAAAAAAATCGTTACGAATGCTAATTGTGGTCGTAGAAAAAGTAGTGTACTTAATTGTACTTTTTTCCAGCCGTATCCACAATCATCGATTCGCTAGATGACATATGTTGCCTTCAAGAGACCCAACCTCAGGAGCGAGCTCATCTTTTGGCGCTCCTCGACGACGCCCATCTTCAAATGCTACTCGAGGTAAATCCAGCCAATTAATCATCAAAATTTCGTCTTTTTTACACACACCAAATCCTCAACAAAACATTTATGTACCATCACTAATACTAAACAGACCCGTTTAGTATGCGAAACAGGAATTCCCACTAAACTATCCCCATAATTTAGCGAAGTATGCCTTGCATTGCAACGTTGCCGCATCATCTACTCATCACACCTGCATTTCCACCGATTAACAAACGTAATTCACAACAAATTCGATCAAAAATTTCCACACAAAAACCGGCAACGTCGCATCTATAGCACAAGAATTTTCCACCGGTCGGTTTTTACGAATTTTCCAGCTGTACGATCGGATCCACAGCCGCGTGCTGACACCTCTGCGGGCCCCGCTGAACGACGCCGTGCAGTGCGCCCGCGACGCCGCCGACGCCCTTCGCGATCTCGAGCACCGCCGCGACGCCGACTACAGGGACCTGCAGGAGCTGAGGGATCTGCTCTGTCGGCCGCACTTCAAGGTGAGTGAGTCGCGTTTAGTTCGGCGCTTCGATGAGGAGAGGTCGCTAACTGTCGATTGTCACGTCGAAATTTAGTTTGGCTGAATGCCCTGAGCGGTTGAGGCAAGAGAGAGAGAGCGGAAAGAAGAGAGGCGTTTAGAGATTGAATAGCTTTAGCTGTAGAGGCCTTGTACTGACGAATTGTTGTGTTTGTCGTGACGTCGCATCTACGTTATCTTGAGTGTATTATATGCGAAATTCGAGGGAATGAATAATGGTGGATTGTTGTAAATGTTCGATTTTTTTGGGGAAAAGACATTACAACTAAGAGGCCAAATGTTTCATTGATAATTCTCTTATAATTGCGGAATTTTAAAAGAAATGAAAATGAATACAAATATAACGTAATCTTACTTACTTATTAGGTAAAAGTTATTCAAAAAAACTTGGAATAAATACATGCACTTAAAATTTTAAAGAATAATTTTATTTAAAACCACAACTTGGGATTATTTTGGGCGAAGGATGCGAATTTGGGCGAATGTACAAATGTAATGATTTGCCACATAAAAATGCAAACAATTTGGTCTCTTAGTTGTAATGTCTTTTGGTTCGGGGCGTTAAATCGCGGGATTATTGCCGTTCGAATTCGAAATCGTGTAGAATTCCTCGGATGTAATTAATCAACCGGCCGACCCAGTGACCTTTGCCCTACATTTATCCATTTCGTTGCGGTTGCGGCGCAACAGATGGAGCTGCATTGTTCGAAATTTATAGAGACGCGTGTCCCGTTTTTCGATCAATACGATTCGCTCAAAGGACACAAAACATCGCTATGTGTATATTGCGAATCGCATTGTACCAGAAACCACAATAAAACGAATGCAAAATGAGAGGCGGACAGCTTCGTTTAATAGACGGGTTTTTCTTTTCTTTTTTTTTTGTCATTCCAATGTTGAATGGAATTTTCATTCATCGTCTTGATGTTTGAAGAGAAAAATTGTACACCTAATTATATTCTATTATGTACACATAATAGAGGAAGGCTGAATGCGAAATTATTTTTTAACGTGGTTAGAGCGTTTTCACTCTGTGCAATATATTACAACAATATTGCAATAAATTAAAAAACTACTGTATAAAAACTACAATATTTTTCACTATAAGAGCGTTTTCACACGGTGCAATATACACCGTTTAAACCATTTGAACGTTTGCAATTTAACTGCAATGCAATATTACAGCAATTTATTGCACCCGGCGCGCCACAATTCAAAAAAAAACGTAGATAAATTAATGAACGTTCGGCGAGCAGTCTTCTTCGTACAGCATGTATCAAGAAAATTAATCCGTACGTTTCCTACATTGTAATTAGGAGTTGATTAAGGCGGCTCATTAGGTACATATTGCATGGAGTAATGAACCTAATTAACAATTCCATTAGCATTCATACTTGTTCGCACACAAACACACACACACGTTGCCGCGAGAATCGTTTCAATTTAGCCGGTTTGTCGGTCGGTATAGCTTCGCCCCGGAATCTATTAAAGTTCTAAACGATATAGGGAAAACGGCCTACGTACAGGCATATAAACGACCTAATTATCCGAAGGGCTGTATAAAATCGGTAATTTACAATCCGGGCCAGTTTCTTTACCGATTACGGACCTTAAAAATAAAATCCGCCCGTAAATCGTAACGCATGCAACCAAATATTGCACAAATCCGGCGATTTGTATGCCAAAACCGACGCGCATTTTTACAACTCGAATAAAAAAATAGCCGCAAATTTAATCCGACGGAGGACTTTGAATTAGGACGATGCCGAAACGGGGGAATTGTTTCGTCGTTTCGGGCACTAGCTTGTTGGGTTAATTAAATTAAATTTCCGAAACTAAACTAATTCCACTATCAGCGAACGTTCGGTCTAACGACGGCGCCCCGACGCTGATTTCGACGCGAAAAGGGTTTTGTTTGATCGAATCCTAATTCCGAACGACACGTGCAGAGATGAATAATAAAAAATGCCAACGTTACTTATTCCTCTTCGATATACGGGAATAAAATAGAAGAGATAAGGTGCACTTTACTCTATTACAACATCCACAGAGTAAGAAAGTTTCCACACGGTGCAATATATTGCAGCAATATTGCGTTGTAGTTCAAAAAACAATCGTTCAAATGCGTAGTTTTCACACGATAATAAGTGCAATGCAATATTGCAGCAATAAATGCAATTGTAATAAGTTGCTGCAATATATTGCACCGTGTGAAAACGCTCTTTTTATACAAGTTTTAATATAGATGAATTTGAATTTTAACTGCAATGCAAAACGCTCTAGCAGAACACCTCGCTCTGTAAATTATCCAGTAAACCGTGATTTTGCTGTACCTATGCTCGACATCGAAGGGGGCGATGTTCTTCGCCGCCGCCCGGATACTCCGGGGGCGGTCAGAGAGCTCGTTTATACGCTAATGCAGCTCATTGACGGTTATTTATAAGCGCGCAAATACGATCATAATTTTTGAGCTGCATGTGTAAATTACGATACTTTTTCTACGACGTTCGCTGCTCAAACACTTCTCGTAAACTGGCGGAATAATATCTAAAATCCTTCGTGTACAATAACAGCGCATCCCTTTCGCTGGAGTTTTAATAAATTGAAAATTATTCGAAGCAAACGCCCGCTCTTCGTGTATATCACAGATTTAGGGCCGGAGCGCAGGCAATGGAATAAGCAAATGTGCCGGCGACATTTGGGACGCGTAAGGATAGCGGAATGCCCTGCGGTATTTTGGTTTAGGGGCATCGGAGGACGAAGGTCCTCGCGTTAAATGATTTAGGACCTTCGGTCTGGCACCCTTAATTAGTTATGCAGCGAATGTTTAAATAAATGCAGCGAGTATTTTTTTAACAATTTCGTAGCTGTTCAAAATTTCATGTCCGTTCTCATATACATGCATGACCCATTAATATTTGCTCTCCCCTTCGGCGCTCTCGTCCCTTTTCGGTCTCGGTTGTTTTATTTAATTAAACATCCTTTTTTTCCACGGCGCTTGTCGTCGAGTTTTTAATTTTTCCGCCCGTCCGGTTCGGCCCGTTTGCACGTCGAAACGTATCTTTATCGGGAATAAAATTCCGGTGCGATAACGTGTTTTCATACCGAATTTAAGGGGCACATTTTTTTCTTTTGCGTATTTTACTTGTAGGCCCGAAAGTCGGGGCAAATTGAAATGTTGGACAATTATTCTTGCGACTCGCGCCATTTGTTTTCCCTACGAGCCGGGCGGAAATAAGGAGCGACTGTTCAAATTTTCTTTTCTCCTAGGGCTAGCGTTTTCCCGACGTTTACTGATCGGTCTAGCGTCGGAAAAAATCGCACAATGTAGATCATTTCGAACGAGGCTCCGTTGCTTTTGTCGTACGTTAATTTTTTTTGCACGTGGAACAAAGGCTGTATTATTCTCCGGCTGTATTCGTAATTTAGCGGAATTTTAAACGCGTTCTCTTATCGTCGCGGGAAACATTTCGATATAGACGTTGAAATCTCGGTTGTCATCTTGTCGTATATATCAAATGGAAAACGTCCTCTCGCTTTTCCGGACGGACGCCGCGCTTCTTACGCTTTTCCCTCGTTTGATTGACGCGAAATTGCCCATTGTCATTTTTTTCTTTCGTTCTGTCGACCGAGCACCGCAATTTACGGAAAATGATGGATGCCGGTTCAACTTTTATACCCTTCAAAGTCGAGGAATACACGCACTTATTTACATTTATTATACAATGCGGTTTTGTAAGTCGATCGCCTGTTTAACGTGAAAGCCCGCTGTACGATATAGTTTTTTGATACAATTTTCGTGAAAGATTCGACGGCGTGTATGAGAGAAATGGTTCGTATTAAAATAAAAGCTTGTCGTGAGGCGACTGTGCGAGAAATCGCGTCCTAATGGAAGGAGACGTTCGACAAAGACCCGCTTTCAAATTGGGTTAATGTGTTCTGGTGTTTGTTCGGATAATGCAATCCAAGAATACACAGTAAAAGTAAAGGAGAGATTTGATTAAGAACTAACAAAAAAGCCCCGAGATACGTATCTTCATGATATACATCCATCCAGTAAGGTTATTTATTTGTTAGACTAACATATTTATAAGTTTCTCTGCATGTAGTCTTAAAATGGAAGAAAATATACTAAAAGTATAAGAATATTAGTATATTTTTGTTCATTAAAAGTAATTACACAGTATAGAAAGAAATAAATCAAGAAGTTATATGTCGATAATTGATTAATTAGGAAACGCTAGAATGTATGCAGTTTGTCCTAATTTCTTCTGGTTATTACCAAAATAAAACCCGATCCATTAGTGGAGGGTACGGCCTAATGTCCTAATATCCCGCAACCCTATATAAAAACATATTTTTACGCCTGTAAAAGCAATTTTTTCGCTTGGCGAGCGCTCCGAGCGGGGTTCGGAAAAAATTCCGTATAGAAAGGGAAAAACTCGGCTCCGGTTGATGGCCGTGAAACCACGCGTTTTCTTCCGATGCCACATCAGCTTAATAGCATCATCGAAAAGCGGGGTAAAAATGAAACATCTCGAGAGAAAGGAATTTCCTCGAATTTTCCGGAGTTTTCTCGCCCTCGCGCCCCGTTGTCGAATCGAACTTGAAGATATGCTTAACTTTACGACGATTTATTAACAAACTTTAAACACAAAAAAAAACGAAACGAAAGTTCCGGGATAGTGCATTTCATTTTCCGGTGTACCGGAGTTTTAAAGGGAGAGAATAAAGTGGGAAACCTTGTTCGTTCTTCAACTTGTTATCCTTGTAGCGAGTCGGAAAATAAGCGACTCAAAGCGAAAATACAACATTGTTAATGCCAGTACTTTGATAGACTCTAATGTAGGTATTAGCACCTTTATTAGAAACCGTTGTAGTGGGATTACAAAAGAGTGCACCGAAGCTCTCGAAAGCACAATCATAAGAGGCTAAAGCTTTAGTTTGAAATTACTAAAATGT